GCGTCAGATATTCTCCTGTTGTGTTTTCGCTGTGCCCAGAGATATAGTAGTAGAGCAATATTTTCGTGTGTCCTAAATTACGAAAGATGGTATTGGAGTTCCGACTTCTATACTTCCCGAAAAGTAATTCTTTGCATTTCTTGCGCGTAGGAATTTAAACAGCACAGAGACGTCTTAAAAATGCAAACAATAACTTATCGTTAAATGTAACTTATACGATCATTTTGTCGAAATTTTCCTTAAGGTTTTTGAATATAAGTCCCTCAAAAATCACGTCGTCGAAAGAAAATGCCATTATTCCTAGCAAATCATGTTATTCTTAATGCATGCATTGAATATAAGAAGATTTATGAATTGAATATCCTTTCAAATTGAGGTAATCTCGAAAAATTGAAGTTTAATTAACAGTTAGATTCTAAGGGGTCTGAGGATGGTGGATTACGCACAGAAATACTGAGTTTGAAGACTTCTTCCTTCATCCAGAATTCTAGGTAATAGAGGGCACTCTAGTTTTTGGACATTTTCCATCATCCGGAATTCTAGGTAATAGAGTGTCATCTATTACCTAGAATTCCGGACTATGGAAAAAGTAAAAAAAACTTAGAAATTCTGTATGTTATTTAATTATTGTTGATGGAGCATAGCGAGGGGTTTTCGTGTATATTATATACTCAAATATGGTTAAATGTATTAGAAGATTCAAACAATCAAACACAGTTAATACACAGACGAACATCAACATTTATGGAGCTCTGTCCATTCCATTTATACGGAAATCCTCTCCTTTTTTCCCCCTGTTTTGGAATAGACCTGACTTTATTTTAGTGCCCATCTGCCGGTGGGATTTTGATTGGTTTAATTTTGTGTCGGTGTTTCTGAATTGTGTTCGGTTCTTTCAGGTCTGATTTTATTCTCTTGCCTGCCGATAAAAAGGACTGATTTGATTCGATTCGTTTGATGTTTCGAGTTCGATGTATATTTTTTATTTAACGACAATGTCAGTGTGTCATGCTGTACGGTTTCTAATGATAGATGATTGATGAACAATGTAGAAGGAATCGAGCATGATCTGATTTGAGACACTTTACTATCACTAGATTGGAAAAACTGAGAAATGCCATAAAAGAACCCCAATCCGAATATTCGCTGTCATGGCCGGGGTTCGATCAGAGGATCTCTCAGCACAGAAGTACAAAATACAAGCACATATACAAATTACTCGACAAGGTTTTATTAGTGGTGTTACACAAATTCGATTGTTATTTTCTTCTACTTGTATAACACATTCCAGCATCATTACGTTGTGTTTTCTTCCCTGTTATGTTCCCTTTCTCTGTTTTCCTTTGTGTGGAGCAGAAAACACGCACTTCAGATTGTTATCTTTTGAAGTAGAACAAATTTTCACTGCTGAAAGAAAAGCGGGGCACAAACATAGGGAAATATTTGCATAGATCTCCAGAGAACAGTGTCTCCCCATAGGGTCAACTGTAAGAACTGCTGCTGCTAAGTGCGAGCGAACATAGCAACATAATGCTGAGCATGAATTACTTTAGTTACTGCTTGAAGAGACCACTAAGTATACTTCAGGCTTAGATAACATTCTTTATTTGCAACTGCCCCTTTCACAAACATTCTGCAATATTTTATTTACTTAATTGCCTTTTAAGTACAGCCAAAGATTCGTGTTATGCATGTTGTGCTAGAAATAATCCCACCGAATTTTATCAGTATGGGTTTTAATTGATGTCGTATTGGCACCAGGAATATTGTTTCAAAATACATTCCACACTAAATTTATATTGTTAGCCTGGCTACTGATTCGTCTGAGATATCATGCCAGAAATCTGACGACATTTCAATTGTAATATGACTTCGAAGGAACAGGTCTGTGTAACGTTTTAAGGATGTTTAAGGAATTGTTGTTATGGTGAACACATCCAGTGGCTTAATACTTACCCCAAAAGGCTGTTGTTCTTGTTGTTATTATTATTATTATTATTATTATTTATGCTAAATTCGTAATTTGCCTCTCGGCTGTTAAATTTTCACGTAAATGAATACGAATTGTATTATTATTATTATTATTATTATTATTATTATTATATCTGCTTCTGTAAACCTTTGACATATGTTATACTTAGATACTGCTTGGTCTGTCTCTAACCTCCAATTGTGTTTTTTTACTTGGGCATATTGCAATGGAATTTATATACTTTTTTCATCAATCAGTCTGTATATTGTTCACTTGTCTTCGTGCTGACTCTGTAATTGGCTACCAGCTGTTGAGTACAGCACGTAAATAAAACCAAGAATTGAAATGAATTGAATTATTAACTTCTATGTGTGTATGTACATGTATTATCCTTTCTCGCCACAAACGGCATAACTATTGGAAATGTACTTATTTCATTTTTCTCGCCTGTTAAAACTAACTTCAATTTTTCTTTGAATTGTTATTAATTTATTGCTATTACTTAGACTGTCATATTTTTATTTTGCTCTTTAATTATTTTTGTGTATTTCTATGTACTAGTGCTAACTCTGTAATTGGTCACTGTGCTGTTAAGTTTGCACGTAAATAAACACGAATTGAACTCAATTATTATTATTGTATAAATGGACTAAGAAACTTGTGTCAGATCGGTTTACATCATAGAACTGTAAAATATTTCTTCTTTCTTATCTACCAAGCTGATTCAACTATCTTCTACATCATGCAATTACAAGTCAACAAAGTTGGTCGGGACGTACATAAATAGAACCGTTCTCACAGCAATATAGGTTTAGAGAAAGTAGAGAAAGTAGCATCGGACGATATCATACGCTTTTCCCATTTTGTTAGTTCACATGGGACTGAGGTTTAATTGCGTTGTGTGGAATTTTCCGGCCGTAACCAAACCAGCAACCCACTTTATGAAATGGCAAATTGCTTGAACCATGATCAACTTCATGGAGTTGCTGCAAATGCATATGAAACTTCAACTTCTCACACTGATCCGTATTAACCTTGATTCTTTTGACTGTAGCAAATTGTCTAGGTTATAAAAGTTACCAAGATTCGGGAATTAGTTTTGCCTCCTACTATAGGATCGACCTCAATCTTATCTTCCGAAATAATATTAGTTTTAGCTTTTCATCTCGATGCTATACCCACAGTACTTCATACTAATATGCAGAAATTACATGTAATGTCTTATGTCCGCGTGATTAAAAGATTAATATGACATAAATTATTTAGTTCCTTAAAATATTTGCTGAATATGTGTAATTTATTATTCTAGCTGTAAGATTTGAGGTTTTCTAGTTGTTTTTATTGTCATCCTATTTCCTTCAGATCCATTTTAAATAATAATAATAATAACGACAATAATAATAATTAAATTCGTATTTATTTATGTGCAAACGTAATGGCCTGACTGTTAACCACAAAGTGAGCAGGAGTAAAGGGAAAGAAACAAAACATACAAACAATATACAAAAACAAGGAAATGTAGAACATCCAAATAATAATAAAAATAATAACAGGCCTGTTACAGAGTTAGCTTTATCTTTTTATAATAATGATTAATATTGAGAGCTTGATTTCAGAAGCGCAATATTTTATATTATACAGATAGGCAAAACGTTGGAAGGGTAAGGATGAGTAACCAACCCTGTACTACAGATATCTGTTTATATGTAGACGACAAAGGACGCCGAAAACTATAACAATGCTAAACATCCCTTGGATCTAAATCTTTCGTTCTTTGAAAATGTAATTTTTGTACTAAGAAACATGAGTCTTTATAGGACACGTAGCTAGAGACCGTGAATCTTTACCCTACGTGCCACTAAACTCACGCTTATGGTGGATGATTCATTGATTCGTTTCGGGTTATAAAGGCAATTTCGTAAGCTGGCTTCGTTTCCGTCATCATGTAAAAAGTATGAAATATATGCTGTTGAGTCCATTATAAGAAGCTAAACTACTTTCCTCCAAACACTATTGGATGGAAAAGGTCCTACATATACGGCATTGTAATATCACCCTTTTCTCACGAATCTGTAGACTTGTCTTACTAAAAGCTGTTGCTTTTGACAGGTTTAGCGTATCATTGAACTTGTAGTGTCGTGGGGCTTCAGAACTACCTCCCTCTTCTCATACACTTAAATAATCACTTTCACCAAGCATTATTTTATACCAAGAATTATACATTATTTTGTAACATATTCAATANAATATATACACACAGTAAGTAACTTATATCATGTAGACAATAATAAAAATTCTAATAGTGCATTTTCTCCAAATATTATGCGTTGAGAATAATATATACATATATTAATATTGATTATAATTAATATTTCAATAATTAAGAAAGCACAGTTATATAACCTCATTAGCACAAACAGCATGGTTCCAAATTTGTCAGCGCCCCTACAAAAATATATCAGCTGAAGTGCATGTAGCAGAAGAAAAAGTTTTATGCGATTTTAATACTAATTAAATTCTTATTTATTTATGTGCAAACTTAGCACAGTGCCAGTTATGTAATGAGCACGAGTAAGTACAATGGAACAACGAATCAAATCAGTTTCTTTATTTACGTGCTGTCGAGCAGCGAGTGAATTATAACAGACGAACACTGAAAATGTACATAACAAAAGCTAGATTAAGCTGGAACTACAATTAGAACTAGAACAAGACTAAAATAATAATAATAATAATAATAATAATAATAATAAATAATATAATAATATATTTTGAGAGAAGAGTATAAATTTGAAATGAAAATCAGCACTTAATATTTATATTAAAGAATATAACTGAAGTTGAACAGTGTACTTCGCAAAATAGTTTACAGGCGATATTTTATGGCAATGTTTTCAAAATGGAGTCACTATACAAATTTTGATTAAATGTACGCCAAAGAAAGCATTTTAAACCCTTGCAGAAAAAGGAAAGTATATAAAATAGTACGATTATCAGAGGACTGAATCACTATTTTCTTTGAGCTTACCTGATTTTTCCGCTACACTCGATTCTCGGGGAGTGAATAAAGTTTCTTGACTGGCGTGAAAACTCCCGTTACCTTCAGCCCAAGGTAGCCGCTGTCGTGAGCGTGGACCACCGATACTGTGCGCCGCTTAGGAGGCGCCACAAGCAAGAACTACCTTTTATTAGGATTTACTGTTGTAATAGTTCCAGAAGGCCTTTACCTAAAGTGGGGTGAAGGGTGTTTCAAGTCCGCGGGCAAGAGGTGAAGTGGGGAATATCGACGCGGGGTTCGTCGTCATGGTACAACTCTGAACAGACGCTCCTCATCACAAGTGGGCGTAACCAATTGTTGACGTCATATCCAAAGAAACCGCCTACCAGCATCCTACACAAAATTTGTTTTGTTATTTTGTGACCTTTCTCTTATACACATACAAAAACGCACATGCCTATAATAATTTCTCTATCCACATTATGTCCATGGTTTTTAAACTTCAAAACTTAGTCATTTTTTTGTCTCTATAGAGAGATTTATTTCGGGTAAATTGGTCTTCCTACTGCGTTGAGAAAAGGCGTCATTATGGCAGGACATGTACATAAGATAGAAATGTTTACTGGAACTAAATTTGGTTAATCCTTTTATTTTAAAGGGGGTACTCGGTAGTGTAGTTGGTTGAGGTCGCGGGTTCAAGTCCCGATGAAGTCGTTGGATTTCTTTAAATTGACCTAATCCTTCCAGCCGCACTATGGCCCTGGGGTTTCCTCAGCCTCTAACAGAAATGAGTACCAGGAATTAATAAAATAATTTTGCTGGCGATTAAAGCGCGGCCGGCGCGTAAGGCTGACAACCTTTCCGCCATCTTTGAGCTGAGTGTATAGATAATGTGGGACCCTCAACGTCTCACAACCCTATGGGCCTTCACGGCCTGTTACAGGGATAGCTTTACTTTACTTTTTACTTACTTTTATTTTAAAAGATTTTCAAAATGCTTCACGCATTAAGAGTTTCCTAATTTCATCTGCTACATATACTGTATGAGCAAAACCAATATTTCCATAATCCAAAGATGTCAGTCAAAGATACTATGCGTAATTACACCCCATGGTCTATTTCCAATATAACACTCCATGAAGACCTGAAAGTGCCGCTAGTAAAGGAAGTCATAAAAGGGAAAAGCACAAGATACCTCAACAAAGCAGAAGGACATGAGAACGTACTAATGCAACCGTTACTGGAACCGCACCATGGACGAAGAGTAAAAAGGAATTGGTCAGCCGACCTGAGAGAAGGGTAACGAGGACTTATCTCTGGATAAGCCTTCTCCACGTCAAGTAGAATACTACAGCAAATTAGCTTATAGAATCAAATGTAATTCAGACTGCTAATTTTATGTAAATAAAAAAAAATATATATATATACTGTATAGAAGCACATATTTCTTTCTCTCTTTCCTGTTGCTTCAACTTGGAGCATAGGGAAGCAGTAAAACGCTTTGTTTCACTTCAATTTCTTAATCCTAGGACAGTTGGTAGGGCTCCTTCGAAAGGGGATCAGCCCGTCACAAGGCCGCTACATACACAGGGCAACGCAAACACAGAATAATCGCAGACAGATATCCATGCCTTGAATGGGTTTCGAACCCACGGTTCCAGTGCTCGAGGGGACTGTGACCGGCCGTATACATATATTGTAACGTAATTTTGAAATCCTCACATGCTTGAAAGAGAAGCTTTATAATTGCTCTGACCTTGGTACTTTATGCCTTATTCTGAAGCGTATTTATTAACAAAAATATTAACAGAATTACGTTCAAAGATTTCATATTTACACTTCAATACACGGTGTAACAACGTGATAAGAAAATATTAATTAACTGGAAATTTGCACAATCTTAAGAATGTTATAGTTAAGTCGTACTTGCTGTATAGGTCTCTCTATAAGTAACTGAGTAAACTTCAGTCCCTAACTAATGGGTTTCAAACTAAACGAAATTTCTTACTCAACTGTGACAATTTCAGAGAGTTATTCCCACTTATTTTGCTTGAATCCTGTAACCATAGCAATTTAGTTTGTTTTCTTTGATCTAATAATTTTGAGCATCCTTCATTGAACCATGGTTTACCCTTCTTCCGTTCTTAATAACTTAGATTCTCCTTGGCAGAAATTTTTATATTCTCTCTAATAGTTTCCCAAGCTTTATTAACATCCACCTCAGTGTCCAAGTTTTCCAAAGCCGCAAACCTGTTTGAGATTTCAACACGATTCTGCTCTTTATCTTCTACCTCATTTGATTTCTTGAGAATGAACCTCTCTATATGAACTCTGTGCGTTGTTTGTTTGCTCACTGCCAGTCTTTCCCTAAACTTTGCCACCATCAGGTAGTGGTCAGTATCACAGTCTGCTGCCCTGAATGACTGGACATCAAGTTTACTCGAGTGCCGTCTCCTTTCTAACAAAATATGATCTATTTGATGGCGTGTCTTTCCATCAGGAGATATCTAATTAAATTTGTGGATGTTACGATGTGGGAATATTGTACTTTTGACAGTAAGATTTTTCACTGTGGCAAAGTTTACACCTCTAACTCCATTATCATTGCTAATTTCATGCAAATTCTCATTCCCAGTCGTTGGTTTGAACAAGTCTTCCCCCCTTACTCTGGCATTGAAATCTCCTAACAAAATTTTCATAAGGTACTTCGGGAATTTATCAAATACATGTTCTGGTTCTTCGCAGATCCTGCCCATTATGCCATAAATTTATCTTCTGTTGGGGCCTGAAAATTTATAACGATCATATCACACCAGCGACCTTTTAGTATTATATATGATATCTTATCAATAACGAACTCTACCCTCTCAACTGCTGATACGATTCTCTTATGTACGAAAAAACCTGTACCTAATTCATGATTTTCATTCTCCTTTCCATAGAAAAATGTATAGTCTCCTGGTGCGATGCCACCTCCATCCCATCTGACCTCCTGTACTCCCACTAAATCTAACTTATATATTAAGATTTCTTCTGTCACTGCCCTGAGCGAATCTGCCCTATACAAACTTCTAACATTCCAAGTAACTAAGGAATCCGTCCAGGTCCGAGGCTTTGTGTTCATTTTCGTAACATAATTTCTTACCGTGAGGAGTTGTTAGCCCCACGCCTCCCCCCCCCCAGTTGGAGGACCACCCCTTGTCGGCTGTCCGCGACTGCTTATTCAATATATTCGCAGCTTTCCTCCAAACCTGGAGGGCGTCGCCACCATCCGCAACCTGAGGACGCGCCATGCCGTGGTGACAAAGGACTCACCTAACATGGCTTCTATCCGCCTATTAAAAATAATATTCTCTTTTCCATAGTTGAAATGCGTCTAAGTCGGTATTGAGTGTTAAAAACCGGGATGTTTTTAAATATCTAGTTCTATATAGTTCGCATTCTAACTTGTCATGTACACTCATGTTTGCAAATGTTATTAAAGAGTTTCTACCTAAAATAAATTATAACGTGTGTATGAAGAAAAGTAATGGTTGCTGCGATCTGAGCTTAAAATAACGTGATATTAATTCCTGGTAAGGGGAGTAGATTTCTTTCACTACACTTCACTTTCATGGCATCGTAAGCATACAAACAGCAGGAATTATTATAGAAGATATACAGTAGTATTCAACTGTGATGATCCTGTAATATAGGTAGCATCAATTTGCATATTATTATGAAAATTGTCCGTCATTTTCTGGTATATCCAAGAAAGAAAGTAGTATAAGTCAGTTTTAGAAACACAATAACCATTTTTCGCGTTTTATTGCGTCGTTTATCACTGAATACGAAATACCTCATTACAACCTTTAGAATTTACACTTCGGAGTACCCGAGTTTGTTTCTGTGGTCCTACTCTCTGGCATACTACTTAAATTGCTATGAATCCCTATAGTAAGAAATTCATCTAGCCAAAAAAAAAATACATATACCTTTTGACTTTTACTTACTTACTTATGGAGCTGAGCCCTTCTTGAGGAGAAGCCAATGTGGGAGCCTCGACGTCTCGCAAAACTATTTGTCGTCACGGCCTGTTACAGGGGTAGTATTAACTTTATATTACACTTAGCTTGTTACATATTTCATTTTGCGGCTAAAACGCAGTGAACAGAAGGAATTTTTTTTTACATGTAACTTAAGTATAAGACATATTAAAGACTTTTCTGACTGGAACTTTGACAATAGTAGCTTTTTTAGACGAAGGACTGATAATATAACCGTCATAAATATTCATCAAAATAGTTCACATTTCCCCCGGAAACGTTCTAGTTTGATGGGGGGGTCAGTATTTTTAAGATAATTTCAGAAAACCGAAGAACATTCAAGTTTCTTTCAGACTAGCCTGATATAAAGTGATAAAGCCATCTATCGTAGAAAAGGAGAAACTAATATTTCCTATTAGGCAAAAAAAAATAATATTTATAGAATGAGACAATAAAACTCAACATGCGCATGGATCCTGAGTTTGAACTCAAGAAAAATACCGAAGTTTTTAACAGAGTGTTGTACGCAGAATACCTGAATCTTAAGAGACGTATTTACATTAAGATCAATAATATCAATAATCCGCGGTAGCGTAGTTTGTTGAGGCACTATGCTAGAAGCCGGAAGGTCACGGAATCAAATCCCGATGAGGTCACTGGATTTTTTCCAGTTGACCTAGTACTTCCAGCCGCACTATGGCCCTGGGGTCGACTCAGCCTCTAATAGAAATGAGTACCAGGGATATTCTTGGGGGTAAAGGACGGCCGGCGTGTAGGGTTGACAACCTTACCGCCATCTGTGAGCCGATTGTCTAGAAAATGTTGGAACCTCAACATCTCACAACCCTATGGGCCTCCACGGCCTATTACAGGGATACGTTTACTTTTTTAAGATCAATAATTTTTAACATATTTACAATGGCAAGAAATTCTCGTGGAAATGAGTCCTTGGAGATTCCCAATTCAAAACTTCATTGTCCAAAGTGCATAAATAATATGGTGAGGTTGGGTGCTGCCTCAGAACTTACGGTCCTATGAATCAAGGCATACGGTTCCAAAAATTACCTACTCCAAATTTGTACTGGTTTTACCACAGATTTTGAGTCATCTAACTGAAAAACTAATTCCAATACACGACATGTATACCACGCATTGAGATTTTCAGAAATTTGATTCTATAAACCGAAGTCTCCTGCACTTCATTGTATTGTTCAATCTATTACGAAATGTACCCTCCTTTTCGTCTAAAAATGATGTAGTCTCTTGGCACCCGATGTGAAATTCTAGGATGCAGAGTGGGCTCTTCCATATGGTTGTCCTGACCAATCAGGTTTCACAAAATTTTTTATTCAACCAACTTTATTTTTCCAAGAGATATCTGGTCTCAATTTTTTTTACTTTTAAAATCACATAATAATAACATATTAATATATGTATAATCTACTTTGACATCTAGAAAATCCATAGCTTGTCCACAGACGGCATTGATTTTTAATGAAGAATTACTAGTGTTTTGTGATAGGCGCGAACGGAAGTTTTATTTTACATAAAATTTATCTTTGTGCTGTTATTTTCGTGATACTTTGAACATTGACATGTAATTAATATTGTCAATAAAGTACCGCTATATGTGTCAAGGAAACATGGGAAACTTCAGCCTACCCTTATTTTATGTGAGTTTTTTGCCCTGTATTCCTTTGTTGCCGGACTGCTTGATACGTCAACACACAATGTTCAAAGCCCTCCGACCGGCCGTCTCTTTTCACCCTTCCTGTCTTGAAGCAAATGTAGAGATGGCTCCCAAGTTCAAGATATTTGCTTCTCATGTAGCTAGCAATATTTAACTTCATCTTAATTTACGTCTTTGCTGTGGAGACTACTAAATTATCTTCCCCAGTAGAGCATTCCACCAATAATCAGATCATCACGTTTCAAATGATTCATGTGTTCCCGCTTGACTTCAGTTGAGTTTGAATCGATTATCTATATCGAGTTATATCTTGTCGTTGAAGAGCTGCCCGAAAGATGGCAGAAGCAGACCTCCATATGATAGCTCAAAAACGATGTCGTGTTAAGATTAATTCGGTTGATCGACCTTGTTAACACAGTCCATTTGCTTCCACCTGTCCGGAATTATAGGTATAAGAGGTTTCAAGACAGGAATAGTTATGCAACAGTGACTGTCAGAAGAAAGTAATCGTCAATACTTGCTCTGTATCGGCATTTACAGTAGGCCAATGTTATATGACAATATTGTTTTGACTCAGCTGCAGTCTGTTCTGTCCCTTGTGGAATTATACAAATTGCATTTCTCGTGAGAATAGTTGTCACCTTGTTATTATTACTTAATGGTTTATGAAGTGTGTATTGTGCATTATTTTTAAACCATATATCTCTGCAAGTTCCTCAGCTGTACATACTTTAAAATTTCAGTATGAAGGCTGTGTATGTAGGTTTAAGATGCTTACATTAACTCATCTTCCATAAATGTAATAGGATGGAAAATGTGTTTCATTTATCAGAATCGAAACATGCATGGGAAAATTGCAGCTTTTGCACCAATGTAGACTTCAAGGTGCAGCAAGATTTCATTCGGTAAGCAAATCAAAAGAGTACAAACATATCTATGTTACCGCAGTAGATGAGACAGTGTTATTTAATTAAATTATATGAGACACAGCAGGCAGTTTCAAACTGAATTACCATAATTCTGGCATATTGTATAGTATGTATAATTAATATATATACCAATAGTGACATCTGTAATTATTTTCCATGATTACCAGATGAAACTTGTACTGTCACCCAGTTGGTAAGAAACAATGATCTATCCAACATGGATGATTTTCTGAACAAAAGAGAAGGTACAGTCCATACAGGTCTTCCTGTTAATCTTGCAGAGCCACAAAGTAATCTCAACAATAATATTTACTTAATTTGCTAAAACTTTAGGATAAACTTGAATGGGTCACTTGTTGCTGTGGCAAGAAGGGTCCTCTGGTTACCACGGAGGAGACAGCCACCAGCTCTGGAAAGTAGCAATAAATATATGGAATAACCAGTTGTGGAAGGTTGAAATGGGATGGTCCTCTGGCTTGGGGATTGGGGTGTAACAAAACCACAATCATAAAAGACTGGTTTGTTTCAGAATGTTACACAGGGCCTCAGACTGTAGACATGCATATGGGAAGCATGGGTGAGATGAGAAATGCATACAGAATTTTAGTCAGAAAACATGACAGGAAGGACCACTTGGGAAATCTGGGTGTGTATGGGAAGGTGACATTAAAATGGATCTTAAAGAAATTGGGGTTGAGAGTGTGGACTGCTTTTATCTGGATGAGAATGTAAACAATTTGTTGTCTCTTATGAACATGAGAATAAATTTTAGTTTCCACAAATTGGAGAGAATTTCTTGACTAGTCATATCTCAAAGAAGACTATATAAAGTTAGTTCATTTATTAGGTGATCTGAGGGCAATATCAGATGAACTAATATAAACAGTTACAATGACATGATACATTTGTGTTGATATGTCTCTCTTGGTGTTAGATTCAAGCATTAAGATGATATTCTGTGCCATCACAGTTGCTGTGTGTCTCAGAGAAATCAGTGATTCTCATCATTCTGAGTTTCATGTACTGAAGGGTACATTGGATATTGTCACTATAAAATTTGTAATTGCTATAATTAAATATGTTAACATAGATTGGGCTCTGAAGCAGCCATATTGTAACAGTGAACATTAATGCCAAAACTGGACATCGTTAAATACCCTAAATTTTTTGTGGAATATCATGACTTGAAAAATCCAGAAGTCTGTTTGCTTGAGGTAAGTTGATTTTAGAAGCTGACGGGGTGAAAAGATCAAAGTTATTTATATTAACAAATCATAAGCACCTGTGGGAACTGCCCACATTCAAGCAAATGTGACAACGCAAATATCATTGCTTAGCAATGGTGAGTAAACAGCGGTTGCTAGGCAACGTCTACAACAATGCGGACAGTGACATGTTTTCTGTATGTCCGACTGTAGGTTATATCAGAAGATACATTGAGTGGAAGTTTACACCCCCGTGTGGAGGCGGTGTCGAATACCTTCACCGTGACCCTGCAAGTCGTAGGAGGTGACGAAAAAGGAAGTCTCAAATCTGAGACAGTAAAATGTTGTTGCAAGTCCCAAGGGACTCAGACCCGAGAAAGACTGAACTGGCAAGGGCCAGCATCATATACAAAGGGCAGACCCGTCTTATTGTCAGAGAGGGCGCCCCAAATGGACAGGACAGTAACTTTCATATAAGGGAGGAAAAAAAAATCAACACAAAGACAGACAGACTGACTGACTGACTGTCAGTCGCAATGTGACTTGGACTTGGAAGTATACATTTCTAGATTTCTACAGTTCTACAATTCTAGTTCAGTTTTCAAGGAGTTCACTATTGTTGTTATTATTCTTCAATTCTTCAAACGCAAGTTTGTCTATGTATACTGTGCAACTGTAATAAATATTATAGGACAGTTCAACAAGTGGTTGTCTCTTCATATAATTACATCCCACATTGGTGACCCACAAACCCATCTCCTATGCCTTCCAGCAGAAAAGGGACAAATGCTCACCAAGACAATTCAACCACCTGGATTTCATAGCACAATTCACGACTGACATCCGACACATCTCTGGACAGGACAACGTTGTTGCCGACACTGTCTCCCGTGTCAAGTCCATCACTGCGCCACCATCCTACTACACATTGGCCACATCCGAGGACAGCGATGATGTGCAATACCTTTACCGGGAAACTTCGGCCGTACATTGCAGCTCCTCTACGGTTTGCATCGTTCCAATCATCCATGATCTGTCGCACCCAGAGACCAAAGCAGCAGTGAAACTGGTCGCACAGTGTTTCATGTAGCCAGGCATGCAGAAGGATTGCTGCACCTGGGCACGTGCTTGCCAATCCTGCCAGTGCTCCTAAGTCTCCCGCCACACAGTCACTCCATTGGATGACTTTACACTGCCGGCAGCCAGATTTCTTCATGTCCACATAGACTTTGTGGGACCCCTTCTGACGTCAGGAGGCTACACATACTGCCTCCCTGCAGTCAACCATTTCACCCATTGGCCAGAAGTCATCCCCATCCCAGACATCACAGCTGACACAGTGGCACAAGCCCTACTGACCGGCTGGATATCCTGCTTCGGTTGCCCGCAGGCCATCACCACTGACCAGGGACGTCAGTTTAAATCTCAACTCTTCCACTCCCTGGCCAAGCTCTGTGCCATTCAACTCTCGTGGACAACCGCTCACCACCCAGGGGCTAACAAATCTCGGCTACAATTAATTATAACAAAGTTGCGGGGTTTCACACTTTATAACCCTATTCACAATATTCAATTCACTCACTCAATTCACTCAATTCAGACTATGGGAGCTATACAAGTGTCACTGTGTTACACACTCCCAATTAATTCTCAGTTATCACAAACTGTCGCTGATTATCACACACTGTCTCTGGGGACGGCTACACGTTAACTCTCCGGCGGCTGTGCAGTTCCCTTATATAGCCGCAATGCTTGCCTGTTACGTAATGAGTGCCTTGTCACAGTAGGAACCGGTGCCATGTCGCCGTGTTACCCGCGTCTAGTTGCGTTGCACGTTACGTCACCGTGCAGAGGGGGGGGGGACAGCGCTGACTCACCTGCCACATCACTGCTGGGGGGGAGGGGTTCTCTGTTGCACAACATGTCACAATATACTTGATTTTAAATGTTATCTCTTTTAGATTTTAATTCACTAACTTCAGTACCAACATAAAGCCTTTTACATATTTATGAAAATGAATGGAGGAGCATTTATTTTTTTTTTAGAATATTGCAGTGTTATTGTTTCTGTAAATAGCATTTTATTTCATAAAAATCCATGAAAATAGTTTATTTACTAGTGCCAAAAATCGGTGTCCTATGTTAGGACAGTTGTTTTAAAATAATTGGCCAATGCAATGGCTGAAGTGTTTGTGTGCAGGCATACTTAAGAATTTTTTTCGGAATCTTTAAGCTGGTGAACAGTTTGGTTAGTTTTCTGCAAGTAGCCCTTCAAAAAATTCTTTCAGCCCTGGTGATAATGAATTTCTAAATTTTTACTTATTTATTTACTGTTTTTATATTATTTGTAGTAAGATGGAGACATTTAAGCACCATTAATTTTACCTTTGGTGTACACTGCCACATTCCCCAAAACTTCTAAAAAATTCAAGAAATATTTTGTTTAAGGTAGATACTTTACATGTAGAAGGGCTGAATTGTTCACTTTTAACTCTCAAGAACTAATCGTTTTTCTCATCTGCCAGCCATCTTCGTGACAGGCACTGCTCAAGAGAAGGAGGTTCATATGTTTGTCGCTATGGGTACAATGGAGTGTGCTCCTCATTGCCTGTTGAAGGCGTGAGTGATGAAGATTATGAGGATCATGTGTACAAGCATCATGTCTTCCCACACCAGTATGCTATTAAAGCCACAAGAGGCAACCTCAGGAACTTGATGAACCATCAGATGTCAGAGAAGCCTAATGTTGTAGCTGTAGAAAAGCAATGGTCTTTGTACTCTGCAGCACAGAATCTCCCTGCACTTCTCAATGATCCAAACAGGGGCAAGCAGGTAATCTTATTAACAAATGAGGATGTTAGAAGAACAGTAGTTGCTGTAGTAGCCTGTAAGATATGAAAATGTTTGCTTATGCTGGTTGTCCAGGTCCCAGGTTTCTTGCACAAAGAATAACTTTGTGCAGCATCATTCCTTGAATGTTTGTGGATCAGGAGGAGAAAGGAACTTTTATATTTTCTTGAAGTTGCTTTTTGCATTGATACAAATGTTACTGAGTTTTAAGGTGGGTCTGCTTGTCTTCTAGAAATTTATAAGTAGACTGTAGAAGCCATTCTGTTTGCTCTCGAAGTTAATTCAGAAATGGTACTTGAAAATGAATTGAAATTGCTTCCTCATTATTTATTACAAAAGAGGGAAAATATCAGTTTTTTTATTCCTAAAATCAGTGTGTGTGCCGTTGAAATGTAAAGGAATTTCTTGAAGACAAGTGCCAGAAGTATTCATACGCACGTTTCCATATAACATCAGCTGAAGAGAAATTTGAGAGAAATCATAATTTGAAATTGAATTATGTTGTGTGCTACCATGGGAACCCCCAGGAATTTTACTGAGATGGGGGAGGCCATAAAATTTGCCTACAGACTTATATTTAAGCTGTTTAAAACTATTTTTACTAATCTTTAGAGAACATACTTTCAGTTTGTGTCATTACTATTTGGCATATTTACTTTGTAAAGTTTTTATTTTTTTGATCTTGTATGGGGAGGAGCCAGATACCTAGTTTTTCCCCTCCGTGGTGGCATCCAGTGATGCTAGTTGTTTAGTCACTTAAAACTTTATAGCATATTAATTATAGTAAAGCAAAAGAATTGTTCCAGAAAATATTTGAGTTTAATATACATGCAGGAATTGGAGAATGGAAATGTTATATAATGAAGAATTTCATTTAACGTCCATGTATTTATATTCCGTCAATATTGCAACACTTGTTTATTCACTACTTAATTTTAATTTTAGTTTAACATTATACACTTTGACGCTACATGTTTCGGCCCCAAACGGCCATCACATTTAGTGTCAAAGTGTATAATGTTAAACTAAAATTAAAATTAAGTAGTGAATAAACAATTGTTGCAATATTGAAGGAAGATAAATACATGGACGTTAAGTTAAACAATTTCAACACAGTGCTGAAATACAGAAGAATTTCATGATTCCTGCAGATCACTTACTGTTGTTTGGGTAGTGAAATCGTGGAATATAAGATGTGCTTTGATGGGAGTGACAAGAAACGCATGCAGAATTTCAGTGGATGCCCAAAAATGAAATGGGAGGATAAAATTAAGGTGAATCTTAAGCAAACATGTTGTGAAAATTGGAGGCAGATGGAAATGAACTGACTCTGGATCATTTACAGTGGTTGGCTTTAGCTTTAGTGATATTTGGACTTTCATCACACTAGCAGAAAGTTAATGCATTTCTTATGAAAACACATTAAATAAGAAAACATTCATTAGGTTTAAAGTAAAACCCGTTTTTCTGTTTCAGAGGGATTTCTTCACAAAGACATGGGGTGATAGTTTTGTTGAGAAGATTGACATTCCAAAAGCACATTATTTGCCTGATATCAGCCATGCTCATTTTGAATCTTATCTCCGTAAGATTGCCAGAGTGAGTATTGCATAAATTTTTACTATAAACTTTGATTAGAAAGTTATGTATATACTGATGATTATTTTGTGGAATAATTCCAATTAGGTTTTGTATTTGTAAATTACAGAAACAAGTAAGTGAATTTGGCCTTCTTTTCCAGTACATTTTAGGTTAACTCTTGTATTTAATGACAGAGAAAGGAGGTGCATTTAAATTTTTTATGCACATTTCATGTTAGGAATTCCGGTGTGGAGGCGGGTTAGAGCACCTCCACTGTAGCCTCATGAGTCGTAGGTGGTGACAAAAAGGGAACGTGTTGCCCAGGGATGTAACTGGGCTACTTTATCTCTGGTAGGACATAAATACAGCCACCTGGTCCTTAAGGTTGGGGGTTGGACAGAAGGCTGATGACCTTGTTCTAAAAAAAAAAATATTGTTGTGAAATGCAAAGGAGTGAAAACTGGATGCAGTCTTGCAGAATCTTCTAAGGAAGGCTGTGGTTTAAAAAATTGCTGTTTTGCCAATGGCGATGATCATTGTCATGTTTAGAGAAAGTGGCAGTAAAATTGCCATTAATAAGACAGTACCAGGATAGCATCATCTGCTATAAACTATGTGTGAGTAAGTTGTAAAGTTATATGTGACTGGTATTTTGAAGTCAGACTAAAGAAATTCAGAAGTGAAATTGACATGAAACTTTATGCTGGGGTGTTCACTGATAGTTCCATAAACTGAAATATATCTGCAACATAGCAGAGAGAGAGAGAGAAGAAAAATTGTGGTAAAATGCTAAATGAATAATTGTTATGTAGTCTTTATTTTTAAGATAAGGTTAAAGAGATGTGTGATATTTTATCATTAACAAAGTGTTTGTTTGCACTAGCGTTACAGAGATGCAGTTTGTAAAATCAGAAGTGTCTTAAAGTGGGTTTCTGTTATAAAGAAAATAAAGATAAAGTTGCATTTGATTTCCGATAAGTCAGGAAGAACTGGGTCATATCATGCTGCGTGCATATCTATGCACACCAGTATCATCCTGTAATTTTATTTTAAATTGCTTTGTTCTTCTTTGTAGCTATCATTTAAAGAGTCTTGATCATTTTAAATGAGAATCTTTGTGTTTCAGATATAGTAGGAATGTCACGTATAAGGGGTTTGTGTGACTTATAATTGTAGGTTCTAGATTTGATGATTGGTTTTATTTGATGTCTGTTACAGTTTCACCTGATTAAAATAGCTCACACATTGAGTTCCTTCTTGATAATGAATCTCTCATTGTTGAAGAATCTCTAGTCCCTCGAATTCTCTGTGCAAGTCACGGCTTCTCAGCTATGACTGCCTGCAAGTGACCTTCATTGTCACCTGTAAACCTTCAGCATAGACCACGCACGGAAAACACATTGAGAACACCATATCCTAGAAATTCCTCTGTTATAGCAACTGCAGTTCTATTGCTGTAGAGACATTTTACCACATAATTACCTAGCAACCAATCTGAGCATGTACTGTTGTATGCATTACCCAGCAATGAGCGTTTACCAAGAATCTCTCTTCGCTGGAACATGTTTATCAAGCCAATGCCTAGCAGTGTGTCACAACATATTCTTGAAGACTCTGTACTATAAATCATTATATAAAAGGAAATGTACATAACTCCCTCATTTAATTGATTTCTGTGGCTGTAATAGTTATAGTTATAGTGTTGAATGTATGTTACTGAATATCTCGAGAGATGTTATCATTTTTTCTCTGTCTCCTAAGTCAATGTATTGCCTGTTGCCATTCCAGATGATGTGAACAAGTAAGTAGTATTGCCATCATTGTTATCATAAACTTCAGTGATTGGAACCAGTTGCTTATTCTGCATTTAAATCTCATTGGTCAGTCCATGTTGTTATGTGTCTAGCAACATTCCGTTTTATTTGTTTCTGTTATTCTAGACCTTCAGTAAAATAGACTTTTCAGACATTCATCCAACATGTTCCCATCTTTTATTTCCATAACCTTGGATTATGTCTGTAATACTGTTAATTCATAATTTCTTTCTGATATGTTCACTCATCTTCTCATTTCGCAGACTTACTTCTGCCACTGATCACAGTAAATGCATTTCAGCAGCTCCAGTACTTATGTTATTATCTCTGCTTGTGATTGTTGTAAATTACTATATAACGGTAAAGGTAAAGCTATCCCTGTAACAGGGCGTGAAAGCCCATAGGGTTGTGAGATGTCGAGGCTGCCACATTTTCTCTAGACGGTTGGCTTGCAGACGGTGGTAAGGTTGTCAGCTGTATATGCCAGCTGCCTTTACCCCCAGGAATATTTCTGGTATTCATTTCTGTTAGAGGCTGAGTCAACCCCAGGGACATAGTATGGCTAGAAGAATTGCGTGAATTTAAAAAAGATCCACCTCATTGAGACTCGAATCCTAGACCTTCCAGCTTGTAGCATAATGCCTAAACCAACTACACTACTGCATGCCCTCTGTGTAGTACTATATAACCCTTTAAAATCTGAAACTCATTTGAAGATATTTAAACAATGGAATTGTAAATAATTACCATGTAAGCTCTTTACAAAGTGTTTCACTTGTATTGTAAGTGGTATATGTTTCTTTACACATTTGCATGTGTTCATAAGTGTTTATAGTAATGATACTGATAGTGTGGAATATAATTCATTACGATTATCTTTTCACAGAGATACCATAAACATGTTCGAATGAATGCTGTTACACCTAAACAAAGCCCTCACAATGAACTGTTGCAGCATTTTCCAAGAGTGAAAGCAGCCAGATCATTAGGTAAGTCATAAATTCATCTTTTAATCCCAGTGAATTTTTTCTGTATGATCCTAGCAACTTTCCTGTTTCACTCAACCAATTCCTTGCCCTAAACATTTCAACCCTGAAAACATAGGAGTACATCCCTTTAAACCAATGATATCTGCCTACAAGACTTCACAAGCCAACAAGACCACAGTATGAACAGTCACCACTGTGAAAACCTATAATTGTATAAAAGTTGCAGATTTTAATGAGACCTTTCTATTTGTGTGGTGTGTTTGGATAGCTCAGTCAGTAAAGTGCCTGGATTTTGACTGATTGATGGGCATATATTCTCGACAGACTGAGATTTTTCATTTCGCCACAACATCCAGACAAGCTGTGGGATGCACTCAGCCTCTTGTCAGCTGGGTACCTTAGGATTCTTTCTGCTTTTGTATGGTGGCGGAAGCATTCAGCGAACCATTCGCCTTTGTCTCCATCTAATCTAATAAATTACCTTTTATCTTTATTTTTAATATCACAAAACACTTGAACAATTCTGTTTTATGTGTAATGCGTTCGGATACCGCACATATCCTTCTGTGTACACATGTTTAACAAGACTGTCTCTTGTTGTGTCTCATCTGTCTGTAGGCTGACAGAAGATAGATGGACAATTACAGAGGAATTTAGGATGTGCTATATTGTTACTAATATTGTATTTATATTGAATGATATTTGTATTAAAGCTATCGTATATGACGTTTCTTTGCAGTTGTGATCCCAGAGAGAGGTCAGTTTGATATTAGTTGTATCCCTAAAATCTTCCTGCAAGCAAATTTGGATCTCAGCCATGTAGATACTTTCAAAGCTGTATACCAATTCTCAAAAGATCCTCAGTCACCAGTTTCAAATGATGGTGTTCGGAGTTCACAGCGTTCAGAGAAACTGTTACAGGAGAAGGTAGGTGCCAATGTTGTAATTGTGTCATTCAGATTCTCAAGATTTCAATCCCACTTTTGATTCCTGTAATTGTACTAGGATTGAGGGATACATTCAAATGGAATTCGGAATTATTCTGGAATATTATCAGACGTTCTACCTTCAAATTATGGAATCTTTACTGCAGTGCATTCAACAAGTGGTAAAAATTTTTGAGAGAAAAATTGTGTTATGCTATGGTGGTGGCTATGAAGTCTAGTATCTCCTGGAATGTAATGCTGTGATGTCTGGTAGAAGCTCATTGATGTTCTAGAAGAATGACAGTAAAATTCCACCAGTTTACATGGCATCATATCCCAGAGGTAATACTCTTGCTTTTTCATGTTTCTGAAACTGGAAATTTAATTGTATCTTTTGAAAATATCAGAGCAATCGAATGATAGTAATCAAAATCACTTTCAGAAAATCTTTTCCAATAGTGTGTCTTGGGATAGGGCAGAGACATTGAGAAATGTATATAGTTAGAAAGAGAATATGTTGAAAGTTGCCTCTTGCACCAGTGATTAGTAAATGGTTAACATTTTTTATTTACAGTATTATATTTAAGCATCCTGTTGCACTCTAAACAATAAATGATATGAACTCCATCCCAAGTGCAAACAATATATTATATGTCCTTGAGCTTGCTCTCCTTTACACTACATGTTTCGGCCTCAAACGGCCATCATCAGGTGTATACACTCACGTTGCTGTTACACTGCACTTAGTTTAAAATTTAACGTTTAAAAAACACATTGTTCCTTTCGTTGTTATTATCAACATCTACTTCGTTGATACCTGTCTGGTTTATAGATTATTTTTGTTACACACGTTAGCACTTATAAAATCTTTAGATCTAATTTTAAAATCCTTTAAAATTTTTCTCTAAATTTTAAAATTTAAAATTGTGAGGGTTACTCACCCTATGTCTATAGTGCTGCAGCGACTAGTTCTTGTTTCCAGCACTGTACAGGTGTTATTCTGTGTAGGCTCACTGTGTGCGTGCTGCTGCTATTCTTTACTACGTGTAGTAGTACTACACATAGTAAACAATTTAAATTTTAAACTAAATGCAGTGTAACAGCAACGTGAGTGTATACACCTGATGATGGCCGTTTGAGGCCGAAACATGTAGTGTAAAGGAGAGCAAGCTCAAGGACATATAATATATTGTTTGCACTTGGGATGGAGTTCATATCATTTATTGTTTATTTAATTGGTCTGATAACTGTAATGAGACCTTATAGAATGTAATCCATAAATCCATTCATTAATTCTTGTATTTATGATAGTCTCAGTCCATTTATTCTCTTTCTGCTTCCAGCTGTCTCATTACCTGGATATTGTGGAAGTACAAATTGCTCAGCAAGTTGCGCAGAAATCAGAGGCTTTCTTCCATGCAATGACTTCACATGATGCACTTATGGAACAGTTAACACAAACAGTTACTGTTGTCAAAGCACTTAGGTAAGTAAATTAAAAAATGGTCTAGCTTCATGAATATGATCACATCAACATTCATAATTTTAGTGTTTCTTGTAAATGTTAAGTTGTGTTCATAACTTTTTCAAATTTTCGTTCTTACATTGCAGAGATAAAATTCATCATATTGATAATTCATTAGTAAGAGACTCACTGAATATTTTGAGGTTGGAGAGAATGCGCCGTAACTATCTTTTAATGCATGATAAGGTAAGTTGTGAAATAAAGAAGCATATTCATCCTAAATATTAATAATTATCAAATTTGTATTCTGATCTAGAAAAGCATTATCTTAATTCTCCAATAACAAAATAAAAATATGATTCAAAACATTTTTCTAAATGTAATAGGAAGAAATCCTTGTGTAACATGTGTAATACTGGAATAGTTTTATCATATTCGTTGTGATTTTTGTACTAAATCACAAAGAAATGTAAAAGCACAGTTTTATTCATCCCTGTTCATGATGTGCAAATGACTCCATAGTAAACAATTATTAAATTGAAGAAAGTCGTCTTCTGGGTTTAGGCGCCGTGTAGTCTTCGTTTTGGCCGACGTTTCGGAGCTACTTATCTCTGCATTCCAAGCCATTCAACCGCTCTGAAGATGGAGGCGATACGTTCCTCCAAAACGTCAGCCAAAACGAAGAATACACGGCGCCTAAACCCAGAAGACGACTTTCTTCATAGTCATCGCCGTGAAAACCTCAAAACTTACAAATATTAAATTGTTCTAAAAATTTCAAGGAACCAAAATGTTCGTAAACACCACCACCAAAGAAGTCTACAATGGACCATATCCTGAATCTGTTCACTCCAATTCACACCTCAGCCTCCTCCTCCTCGTGTAATTTTCACTAGGGTATTTGTCAATTGACACTTGTTTGTATTACACATAACTGACTGTTATTTCTTGTGTAGGAAGTTAAAGCAGTATTCCACGATTCTCTAAAATTTTGACAATTGTTGGTTGATTATATGAATATTATGTTTTATGTTGTTTCTTTTCCATGTCCCCTTACTGTCCGTTACAGAAACGTGGACTTTCTGAAACAAACACTTTGTGTATAGAATATACCCCAGACAGTAGACAGTGTACAACATAACTTTCATGTGAGCAATATTTCATTTGTATACAGAAGCCCTGTCCAACGCGGCGCCCATGGTATATTTTTCTGGCATNGGTGGCGCCCGCACCTCCATAGGCATCAGTGAATTGTGCCCGAGTACATAAGAACATTGGACAGCACTGGTATACGGAATATGAATTCTTATTATGCACTCTGCAATTCTTTTCAGATCAAACTTATGTCTACAGTGCACCAAACACAAACAATGATACAATCACTGTTATCTACACCTGACTATGTAGCAGCTCTGGATCTCATCTCCACAACACAAGAAATCCTAGTGCAGGAGCTGGCAGGAGTTCACAGCTTCAGGTAAACCTGAGTCACTTTTAGACATCTTCCAGTTACAAAAATATATAGAAGAAAATGTATTTATCTGAATAGCATGCTTCAGTATTATCTACCAACTTTGTCCCAGGTCTTCCAAGTGGTTTCTTCTGTTGAGATTGAAACTCTTTATGCATTTCTTATCTCCCACTTGCATGTTACATAGCCATCTCATCATTAATTATGCTAACAGTATGATGTAATTAGAGCACATTATGAAGTTTCTCATTGTGTTTTGTTCTGTCCTTAGGTGCAACTGTTCTCAGCACACTGTTCCAGAATATGCTCAATCTATATTCTTATGTATAACATTATTATATACTGTAACCAGTATTTTTTCTTCTGTATTTTCATATGTTATGCAGACATCTGAGCTCTCAGCTACTGGAGATGGAACGTCTGATAGATAAAATGTTGAGCACAGAGTTTGAGCGCTATGCTACAGCAGATCTCAATAGGCCACTAGATTCAGATCAGCAGATATTGGATGGGGTAGGTAGCCTACTGAAACATATGGCAGCTTTTAGTTTCTGTAACTATGTACAAAATTGTTGGACACATAGTAAAATGTGAGAAACAATGGTAATATGTGGAAATTGAATTTGAAGCAAGCTCATATTACATCATGTATGTTTTGTAGTTTTAAAATGAAAAGTTATTGAAGTAAGTGTTTCTCAATCAGTGAGAAATATCCCACTACTGAAACTTGATGGTCTGCTGGGTGGGAAGTCTTGAAATCAAAAACTTAAATTAATGAGTAATCTAGTACTCTTAAGTAAGTAACTAAAGTAAAAGTATCCCTGTAACAGGCCATAGAGGCCCATAGGGTTATGAGATGTTGAGGCTCCCACATTGTCTAGAAAGTCTCCTCACAGATGGTGGTGAGGTTGTCAGCCTTATGCGCCAGCCGCCTTTTACCCCCAGGAATATTCATGGTACTAAGTTCTGTTAGAGGCTGAGTCTACCCCAGGGCCATATTGTGGCTGGGGGGAGTAGGTAAATTGAAAAAATCCACCTCATCAGGATTTGATCCCGTGACCTTCCGGCGTGTAGCATAGTGCCTCAACTAACTACGCTACCGCGTGCCCCCGATCTAGTAATAGAATCTGCATAATCGTAGAAATACACTTTTTGGAAAAGAGAAGCGTTATTTTTACTCTGGTGGGACTATGATTCTTTTTGACAAAATGGCAGGTGGGATGCAAGATGTTAAAGGTTGGGAATCACTGATTTAAACTCTGTTCCCTTTCTGCAGATCTGCATTTGTGTACAGTGTCTGATGTCAGGTTGTTCAGACACTTTTATATGTGCAGTAAGGGTTGAATTTCTATGTAAATTCTGTATGTGGTTTTCAGGATAAGCTGGTGTCGATAATATTTGGGATGTTGCGTCAGAATCATTTCGATTTCATTGACATGTACAAGGATGAAGCATTCACAGCAATAAAAGCAGTTATGAAGCAGGTAATTGTGTTCTTATGTATAGCAAATCCTGGTAATAATATTAACATTTAGGGGATCCAAAGGTTTTTTATGCTTTAATGGGAAGGATCTCAGTTTGTTTTCTTTAATTAAACTTTCTGTTTTGTTGAGGGTTATTTTGTGTAATCAACACAGAAGTATAAATACTGATGTGCAGAATAATGGAAATATTTCAGACATTCATATTTGCTTTACAAGAATCACCTCCTGTAATAATGATTCTTGTTTGAATATCTTATTTTACTGTTTATTATAAATAATTAATGTAGAACAAAAGATTAGGGCATAGTGACATAGGTAGAATTCACCTTCTTGTGCCAGCCAGAGACACCAAATCTCATTTTGAGGCATTCTTGTGTGACATGGCAGTTTTAATCATTCAATGTAATGCAGAGAAATTGAGTATCTTGTCTCTTTGTTTACATGTATGTCCATTTAACATATTGTAACATGGATGGCTCAACAGGAAGTAGGGGTCATATGAACTCTGCGTTTCCGCGAATGACGTCACATATATCCCACTCCTTCCATCATTATGCAATGCTCGGTAAAGACCCCCCCCCCTCGGTGACATAACAGCATAAGAGCTGCTGCTGCTGCTACGGTAACAGGCCAGTCAACACTCCCCCCCCCCATGGTGACACTGCTGTTACCACGGGGCAATGGAACAGTATAAGAGGCTGACTGAGCGGAGTGTGAGCGAGTGTGGATTCTGAAGCCAGGCAGAAGAGAGTGGAAGTCTAGCAGTCACCGAGTACAGTTGCGCATTAGCAGTCGGTTTCCAGCCTTCGAAGAGATGAGGTGAAGTCCAGCAGCCACGAGTTGTTGAGTTGTATCGAGTGAATGGCAATGACTACAGCAGGAGAAGTAATTGTAATACTGCAGATGGCAGTAATTGTGAAATTGTGAATTATGTAAGTGTAAGAGCGAATGTGCAATAAATTCGCTAGATCCAAAAGAGCGTGAAGTTATTTGTCGCGTTACCAACATCCAACACGTGACAATATTTTTCACTTCTGAATTTATTAACTAACCAACTTATTGAGCATTGCCCTTTTAGAGTAGCTAATATTTGCTTAGTTAATGAAAACCCAGCGGGATGGTGTGGCAGTGATTTTGTAGACTTCTGTTTGTGATGCTTAGTTTGAATTTGGTTTGCAGTAGAAGTAGGTGATTGTATTATATCAAAGGAAGTTAGGTATTATTTCTGTCCAGAGAGATACTCACGTAAATGTTGTAAATTCAGAGTGTGCTGGAATAGAATGAAAGACTTACTTGTGTAGTTGACTTTACTTGTGCATAGCTTATAGTATGAATTCTTTTCAACAGATGGTGATAGAAGTTATAGCAGCAAGTGATACGGGAGATTCAGAACTGGCTCTAACTGGACTGGGTGATCAGTTACAGGTGCTCGAATTACATGATTTGCTCCATCTGCTTGAGAATGCAACTTCCACATTGATGTGTCTTGTACATCGAGTCAAAGTGAGTAAGTGAGCTGTGATTTAGATTTTTAACTAAAAAACAACTTAACTGATATGCTGCCTTGAAAAATCGTCTTTCCTGTTGTGAATATCTTTTGTATGTGGCATTATGAGTGACACTTCCTCGCAGCTCATGGCATTATAAGTTAACCCTTTTGTAATTTTAAATAAATACATTTAATTTGTATCTTAATATGAAAATATAGAAATAACTAAGCACACAAAAGGTGTCCAAGTAAATTTATGAATGTTACGATGTGGGAACATTGTACTTTTACAGTAAGATTTTTTGATATGGCAAAGTTTACAACTCTAACTCCATTATCATTACTAATTTCATGCAAACTCTCATTCCCAATCTTTTTTTTGAAAATGGCTTCCCTCCCTACTTTGGCATTGAAATCTCCTAACAAAATTTTCATGGGGTACTTCGGGAATTTATCAAATACATGTTCTAGTTCTTCATAGAATCTATACTTTATGTCATCAATTTTGTCTTCTCTTTGGGTGTGAACATTATAACAATGATATCACAAAAGTGACCTTTTAGTATTATATATGATATCCTATCACTAACGAATTCTACCCTCTTAACTGCTGATACAATTCTCTTATGTACGAAAAAATCTGTACCTCATTCATGATTTCCATTCCCCTTTTAATAGAAAAATGTATATTCGCCTGCTGGTTCCATGCCACCTCCATCTCGTCTGACCTCGTGTACTCCTGCTAAATCTAAGTTGTATTTTAAGATTTCTTCTGCCACTGCCCTGAGTGAACCTGCCCTATACAGACTTTGAACATTCCAAGTGCCAGATCTCATATCCGTTTTCTTTAACTTAGGTCGTTTATCCAAGGAATCCGTCCAGGTCCGAGGCTTTGTGTTCATTTTCGTAACAAGTTTATTTTTTATGGCAAGGAGTTGTTAGCCCCACGCCCAACCCCCAAGCTGGAGGGCTATCCTTTGTCAGCTGTCCATGACTGCTTATTCAATATATTCACATCTTACCTCCAAAACTGGAGGGTGTCTCCTCCATCCGCAACCTGAGGATGCGCCATGCCGTGGTGACAAGGGACCCACCTAACATTAATTCTCATTAACACCCCTTGTAAAAGAACAGTGGCACAGAATTAAAAGTAAACAACTCCACTGCCTTTATAAATTATTAACATAAAATTTTGGAATTATTGTTAATAAGATTTATTGATGAATACATATTTCAGAAAATTACATTTTGTATGTGAGTGCATGCGCATGTGTGCAATTTATGTTTTATGGAAATTGCTGAACAGAACCTTAAAATTTTGATGTTGCAGCACAGAGAAGGTGAGATGGTGTTTCATAGTGGAAAATGTTACATTGCATATATATATATATATTATCATGTTATAATGACTAGACAGAGGGTTTGGATTGGTGATTAAATTTCTTGAATGCTTAGAACTTGTAACCACAAATAATTTTAACAGTTTAATGGATACTTCAATGTAAATAGAGAATGATGTAAAATTAAGTTATATTAATTTTTAAGCTAAAATTGCCTGTACTTATGTATGTAACCTTTTGACATGTTCTGTATCCAAAGGTACTAACCTGCTTAGGATTTATAGAATGTAAATAAATTCAATTCAATTCAATACAAATCACTGTACTACACTAGACTATACGAGACGCAGCATATGCAACACAGAGTTAGAACTAATTAGGACCAGATAGTTTGGAGAGGAAAGGATGTTCAAACATAACGTATTTAGATTTTGATAACATAGGATTTATTCAGTTGGCTGAGTACCAGGTATACTGATGAACTTTTTTTATTGTGGATGTTGAGTTCCTGGTTCTGCTAGCAGAAAGGAAGGAACATCAAAAATTGAACCTTGTGCTGCAGCAGGTGTTAACTTGCTAGTCAGATTGATCTATTTCTTATTCATTAGTTTATAGTTAAGTTCCAGTTTATCCTTATGTATGTGAACGTGAGGTAAACAACCTGAATGTGTTTTTAGGCTCTTCATGATGTCATGCGACAAGCTGCAGATGTAAGTGCAGGGAAAACCCATGAATCAAATGGAAACTCGGCAAGCGGCAGTGATGTTCCTTCACATATTCATGTGCCTGTTGTGTAAGTAGGGTCTTACCAGTATTAGTCACAGCAAGACTGACATACTTACATTTTCCAGTGTTCAGTCATTTTAGCTTCCTTAAGGAGAAGAATTTGCCATATGCATATAGTTTGAACTATTTGACCAAGTTTCACAAAGTACTATATGGGCATGTCTACATTATGCTCTATAATTTCCTAGAATTGCATGATGGATGTATGCAGACTTTTGGGATAGGAGTGGCACAACCACTTAATCTGTTATGCTGAAATGGTGTATATAGTAATGGATCTCTGAAATGTATGCAACTTTTGTTGAGGTGAGTGTGTCGCTTTGTCAATCAACATAATTTATTCGATTTTCCTAGAAACCCCCTTCCCCCAAGATGATTCTTCAATCGCACAAGCCGAATATCACGGTCAGTGGCGTTTCTCGGGGGAAGGCCAAATTTATCAGGGGGCCCAAATGAGTTGACTGGAGTTGAAAAAGTCACAACACTGGCCAACCAAAGGGAAACAAAGATGTCGTGTGTTTTGCTAAATAAGAAAAGCAGGAGCACCCTCTTCTATTGTAAAAAGTGTGATTTTGCTCTGTGTGAAGTGGACTGTTTCGAGAAGTGCCACACATGTCAGTGTGACTATCATAGTGAAGTGACTGTGAACTGAAACTGTGAAGTGACGTAGTTCAAACTCGCCTACAGTAATATTATTGTATATAGAGTGATTAGATATATACAAGATCACCAAGTCTCAAAGCTGAATATCACGGTCAGTGGCGTTTCTCAGGGGAGGCCAAGGTTACCTGGGGCCCAACTGAGTCGACTGGAGGTGAAACATTCACAACACTGGCCAACCAAAGGAAAACTAAGACGTATTTGTTCTCAGAATAAGAAGTGCAGAAGCACGCTTTAATACTGTAAAAAGTGTGACGTTGCGCTGTTTGTGTTCGGCTGATTTGAGACGTGAGTTGCGCTATGCATGTTGGACTGCTTCGAGTAGTACACACGCATCGAGTGTGAGTTATTGTAAACTGTGAAGTGACGCAGTTCAAACTTGCATACAGTCTGAACAAAATATTATTGTACGAGTATATAGTCTGATTATATTTACAATATCACCATGATTCAAGGCTGAAGAAAAAACAACGGGTAAGTCCTTTGGAATTTCATAACATATATACCGTATTTACGCGTGTATAGGCCGCATGCGTGTATAGGCCGTGGCACAATTTTCAGACAAATTATAGAAAAAATAATTTTCTTGGAATATTATTTCAGGAGTAGAACACCCTGTATTACTAATTATGAATATAATTTTTTTAAATGAAGTGTGATTTCGAATATTTCGAATATAAGCCGCACCCCAGTTTTCCTCTTGAATTTTTGGCAAAAAATGTGCGGCCTATACATGCGTAAATACGGTAATAAAGATTATATTTTGCAATTCATGACAAAATAATCAGTTAATTTTCATTTGTAAAAATTGCTCTTCTGTGTACATGTAGAAAAATTTATTGTCTTTCAGGTTGTTTTTAGTTTTTATTTCTATGTTGCATAGAACAGAAAATATGGATTTTTTTCTGACAGTTTGCAAATTTAATTAATCAGGGTGATTTAAATACCGGCCGCAGGGCACTCCCGGCAATTTAAAGTCCGTACATTAAAGGTTAATGTGACTAATTCATTCACATTTTTATGACTTCATCATCTCACATTGTAACATTGGCCTGCCCACAGAGGATTCTGATCCAGCGTAAAAACTCTTGGTACAGCATTTTGACTGATGAGATTGGCATTCTTAACTCTACATCAGATCTCTGTTGATATTATTGTAATGTTCTTGCAGGTTAGATCCACCAGACATTTTCCTGTCTGCAGAGGACCATGAACGTGTCATAGGAAAGCTACATAATTTACTGACATCTGTCTGTGACTATGCTCATGAGCGTGTGGCTCAGCTGTTATCAGCACCATCACATGCTCAAGCCAATGAGCAACGAGATAAGAATAACCCTTCCCAAATACAGGTTCGAAGTGGAGAGAAGCAAAGTCAAGCACAAAATACTGCAGTATGTATTTCACTTCTGTTTATCTATGTTGTTGCATATGCAGAGGTGAAGGTGGGTGCATTATTGTAATTGTATGTTAGTCATGTGTGTTTCCTAGTTACAGAATACAGCAAGATGGAATTTTAAATATTTTTAAGCTGTGGACTGGCTTTAGGCATCTAGCCAACCTAGCATGTAGACGAAAAATTACTGTGTGGTCTTCCCCCCACCCCCCGCATATGAGTAGGAAAGAACCATGTTTATTTCCAGTGTGAGGTATGGGATAATGAACCACACCTTAAGAGAACCAGAAGGATCAGTAGAGAAAGCAGTACTAGATTGGTATCCGCAGGGAGCACAAAGATGTGCGAGACCAAGGAAGACATGGAGAAGATCTGTAGAAGGGGAAATAGGCAAAAAAAGAAAGACCTGGAGAGAGAAGGGAAGAGGTCGGCAAACAACAGAACAAAATGAAAAAAAAAAATTCACATCAGCACTGTATTCTGATAGGAGCAGCAGGAGATGATCATGATAATGAGTTATAATTTATGCTGCATATTTAGAACTTCCCTGGTTTGAACTTTGGCCTGGAGACCAGATAACTTAACAAGTGTTATATATAAGATTTGAGGCTTTCACAGCGGTGACTATGAAGAAAGCAGTCTTCTGGGATTTGGCACCGTGTATATGTGGTGTTAACCGACGTTTCGGAGGAACGTATCGCCCCCATCTTCAGGGTAGAAGAAAAAGTATAAGAAATCTGCAAGCGACAACACCGTGAGAATAGTTTTCCTCTGCTTCTACATAGAGATGCTGGAATGGCACCTTAAAATAGACCACAGCCACTTCAGCATCTTTCTAATTTATTGGTTACAAATTACATAATAAGTGCAGTTAAAAAGACATTGTTAAATAAACTGTAGAATAAGAATCAACCATATTAATGGTATTAGACAAAAAATATGTCAGGAATAAACATATAATTGAGCAGATGTTAGATTATGGTATAGCTCCGCTATCAGTAACTTCTCAGTTCTGATGTTTCATCTGATTGTAATAAGTACAGTAAAAACACCATTTAATGTTTCTCCAGAGGATATTTCATTTCCTCACTAAACCAAGGATATCCTTAAACTGAAGGAACTTCGCCTGGAGATAATATAACTGAGACTATAGGCATATAATGTCAAATAAAGGAAAACCCTGAAGTGGGAAACATTAAATTGTATTTCCACTCTCAGGTTAATGTAATGTTTATTTACTCTGAATGACTGTTGCTAATGGCATTATTATATTATTTTTGTTCTGCAGTCACATAGCTCATATTGGTTGGTGGATAAGGCAGCCGCATCCCAGATTTGCGATCTTGCCCATGTGATTGATGACTTCACAGAGCAATGTGAGAAAGTCAGCGGCAAAACCAGTACAGCCCTTAGATCTGTTTTCAAAGTTCAGGTTTGTGATATTTTTATATATCCCTTTTATTTATTATATAGCACAGTGATGTACGAGGGTTGGAACTTTAATAGTGGCAACACTGCTGTGGAGATGCCATGCAATGAAACCAAATAATGTTGCTTATACTACATGTTAGTTACATACCTACCTTACCTCAGAGCAAATGGACTCTCACTTCCCACATCACGCACATGCGCAGTGACGAGAAGAACAGAGTCTCATGTTACCTGGCAGTCGAATGTAGTGTTGTCACGATGTTTTTGAAACAGGAACAATGGAGTTGGATAAAGATTGAATATGCCAGAGGCCGTACAGCACGACAGTGTCATCAAGGTGTTCAAGAGGCTTGCGGGGAATCTGCATTGCCTTACAGAACAGTGGCAGGGTGGGTAAAAGCCTTCAATGAAGGACGCCAGAATGTGGCAGACATGCGTCGGCCAGGTCATCCTAGTGTCAGTGAAGAAGAAGTGTATGCTCTTTCCATGTTACTGGAGAGCGACCGACGCCATACGATTTGTGAGCGGGCCCGAGAGACAGGATTAGCGCATACAACTGTACTTCACATTCTGAAGGAACGCCTTGGAATGAGAAATATTGCATTACAATGGGTTCCGCATGATTTGACGGAAATGCAGAAATGGCTACAATACGACGCTGCTCGTAACCACTTGGAGCACTATGAGCACAAAGGAGAGGCTTTCTTACACCATATCATTACGCTGGATGAGACATGGGCCAAACTGTACAAGCCACAAATGAAATGCCAATTGAACGAATGGCATCATTATGGGTCACCACGAAAATTGAAAGCTCGTCAGAACCCCAGCAATGTGAAAGTTATGGTGATTCTCGTGTTTGACTGTGATGGTGTTATCCTAACGCATACCATTCCCTGACAGCAGACCATCAGTGAGCAGTATTACTGTTCAATTTTGGGATACAACCTGCGACCAGCTTTGAGAAAGAAGTGGCGACACTTTCTACAGAACTCACCCATCATTTTGCAGGACAATGCTTGGCCGCATGCAGCGCAAGCTGTGGCTGATTTGTTCGATTGATGGGGCTGGGAAGTGTTGTACCATCCACCATACTCCCCCGACTTAAGCCCTCTTGACTTCGACTTTATTTCTAAGATGATGGAACCACTTCGTGGCATTCACTTCAGAACTGTTCCAGAGATTCTTCAGGCAGTAGACCGCTCCATTTGAACTATCAACAACAATAGGTGCTTCTAAAGGTATCCTGCAACTTCCCCATCGCTGGCAACGTACACAATGCTGGTGACTACATTGAACAGTACGACTTCGAAACAAGCATCTATTTTGTATCAGTTGTAAATAAATAGTTGCCACTATTAAAGTTCCAACCCTCGTATTTTTGGGAGCAAAATGTTACCTGTCAACCTAAATGCAACTCAAAAATGCTATTACCTCATTCTCTGTTATCTAAACAGTAAGTTCCAAAATATGACTTTTACAGTGTGAATCTGTGTTATAAACTTAATTTTTATAGCGGATAGTGAAATTAAAATGGCTACAGTGGGTTTGGCATGTAGGGAGGACAGGGCATATGAGAAACTCGTACACTGCATGTGGGAAGATTCATTCATTCATCAGTAATCTGTCAGACGACAGGTCCACAGTCTCTTCCAAAACAGTTCCTCCACTTTAATGTGATCCAGAGCTTTCTCCTTCGAATAAAAATATCCTTTTCTGTCCCCAAGGTCATCCAGCATCTTCTTAAGTCTTCTTCCTAGTCTTCTGGTTCGCATACATGGATCTTCTGTTTTTGGAAAGAGACTATCCAGGAAAAGTGATAATGTGGTAGTTTTTCCATTTGCTTTCCATATCGCAGTACAGCAGCCGTTCAAACCACTCTGGTTACGCCTGTTGCTATACGAACTTGAACCATCTCGATCATCATTTGCTCTGTACTTCAAGTTGCCGCTGATGACGCTGCTTCCGGCATCAGTTTTTGGTTATTGGTGTCTCTCTTCGTCTGATGCCTACCCTTTGACCTGTCCAGCAAGGGAGGCCCTGCCAGTAGCTACACTACCACTGGTATAGCTCTCAGGGTCCTTGGCATACTCAAACCCCCTCACCACGATAAGGTGGAGACACCAACGAGGGGGGCGGGAAGGTATCTCTTGAGAAACATCCACCAGAAAGATGGAGAAGGAGTGGAAAAGGTTACACTAAAGTCAATCTGAGGGAGAAAGGTTGTGAGGATCAGAGAAGAGATCTAGCTTTACATCATGTGCAGTGGTGGGTTTTGATATTAACTATGTTGAAAATTCAGGTTCTGTTAGTGCAGTGTTAAGCAGGTTATGTTGAATACTTTGAAGTCTCTTTCTGGAACTTAGTAGAGATCAATCTCCCACAGTGTGATAGCTGTTTTAGAGAGTACTATATATTTTCAAAGTACAAATTATGTTAAGTCAGTCATAAATATAATATTTGGAATAGTTTTCTTAAAGGACTATGTTTCAGTAAATTAAAAGAAAGAAATTTGGCCATTAAAAACAATTTTCTCTAAGGAAAGCACCAAAATTAACATGAGATAATTAATGGTAAGATGAGCAGGCATGACAAGTGCTTTCACACTTATTTATTGCTGTGCAGTTGAGCTGCCTGTCACAAGATGTCACTAGAGTTGTACGGGAAGGTTCAGCACAAGTGCAGTAGCCTGTTGTGGTATGCAATTCTTATTCATATTCACAAAGGGGTGATGTACTACAAGTTTTTACTTCTTTCCATATTCTGTCTTGTAATCCTGCTGTTTGATTCTCTGAAACCTGTGAAGTTGATAAAGCATGATTAAGTAAACAGACAAACACAGTTCAACTGTTTTTTTCTTAATTTCTGCATTTTCAAACCTGAAACCTTATTCCAGTCTCTTCCTCGCATCACCTCACCTCTCATTTGGTTCTCCCAATATTGCTTTGGCTTTCTATCCCCCCTCAACTCTTCCCCTTGAGAATGTTGTATTTGAGCTCTGTTGATTACAGGCTAGCAAATTCGTACAGCGTTTTCATCAGGACCGAAAGACAAAATTAAGTCTTATTCTAGATAGTGAACGATGGAAGCAAGCTGATGTTCCTGCAGAATTTCAGCGCCTTGTTACTCATATAAGTGACACCGGTAAGTGATGTAATCTTTTGTTTAGAAGATTGTTTCAATACATGTTTAATTAGAAGGTAAAATATAACTTCTTAATATGTAAGGAATGTGTCCTGTTATGTTATCCTATATAAATTCTTTGTTTTGTTTCCATCTCAACACAACAACCTTTAGAATCTAATTCACATTTCACTGTTTGTAACTGGTTTATTGGTCTTAATATTATGATAATACGATGCATGTTTCTGCTTATAAACCCATCATCAGGCAGTACACATCAACGTATTTTAAAATTATGAAGTGCACTTTACATACATGGTGCAATCCAAAAGTTGCTGAAATATATTAATAAAAACTATTACGTCTTACCTTGATCTTATTCTGCACCATCACCTTCAAAGTAGGCCCCTTGGGAGCGCATACACCGATCCCAGCATTTCTGCCACTCTTGAAATGCATCCTAGCAGTCTTTCTTTGTTAGGGTGTTTAGTACCGTCTCCGTTTCCGCTTGAATTTCCTCAACTGTATCAAATCTTCGCCCCTTCAACTTGATTTTTATCTTGGAGAAGAGAAAGAAGTCGCATGGAACTAAGTCTGGCAAGTACGGTGGGTGGGGAACAACTACCATCTTGTTTTTAGCCAAAAATTCCTGCACAGTGTAAGCCGTATGCATTCGTGCGTTTTCATTATGGAGTACCCAGTCGTTCGTAGCTACTTCTCTGGACGTTTTCTCCTCATGTCCTCCCTCAAACTCCGTAGAACATTGCAATAGGACTCTTTATTGACTGTCTGACCAGGAGGGATGAACTCTTTATGAACAATCCCGTCAATATCAAAAAAAAACAGATCAACATGGACTTAATGTTGCTCTTGACTTGTCAGGCTTTTTTCGGCTGAGGTGAAGAAGGGCTCTTCCATTGCAACGATTGCTGCTTACTTTCAGGATCATAGCCATAAGCTCAACTTTTGTCACAAGTGACAACCTTCAAAAAAAATTTGGATCCTCTTGAAGCTGTTGAAGTTCCCTGAAGACTTCCAAGCAATGCTGCTTCTGTTCATTTTGCAACAGTTGTGGCACAAACTTTGCCACAGCCCTCCTCATGTTCAGTTCCTCTGACAAAGTTCGTTGACATGTACCATAACTTAGTCCCAAGGTGTTACAGAGGTCTTGGATGGTCAGTCTGCGTTCTTGCAGAATCGGATCCCTAACTTTAACGACATTTTCTGGTGTGGTGCCAGTTGACAGCCGTCCCGAACGATCATCATCATCAGTCGATGTTCGGCCATTTTTGAAACGCTTATACCAGTTGTAAGTTTGTGTCTGGCCTAAACTGTTGTCACCAAAAGCTTGCTTCAACATTTGGTGCGTTTCTGCAGCGGTTTTCCCAAGTTTAAAAGAAAATTTTATACAGACACGCTGCTCTCTCAGGTCAGCCATCACAAAACCACAAACTCATGGAAATACATTCACCAACAATAAACCCAACCACTCAGCTCAACACCGTGTTCCACGCTGGTGTGTGGGGAGACATCTAATGGAATTTCAATGTACTCATAACCATTCGCACACAAAATTCAAATTTCGGGAACTTTTGGATTGCACCACGTAATACATACATTANACCCTAGGAAAAAAATATGACATGTCATAGAAATCTGGGCCCTAATAATAACTATTACAGGAACAAAATGAAGAATTTATAATTCCTTAAATTATACCTAGGACTGGAACAGTTGGATCTTAAGTCTGTCATTGTTATTTAATATAAGAAACTGTATTATGATATATTTCTCTTAATTTGAAACAGGCTTTAAGTGAATTTACAAGTAGCAATTCCATGACATAAAAATATAGTAACACGCGGTAGCATAACATGTTATCATGTTATATTTCTAGCTTTAATAAAATGAAGTGCATGTTTGCAAAGATTGAGAGTATGAGGTTTTCTGCATTTTGGTAGCAGTGTAGGAAGGATAGTGTGTCTGCTGCTTGAAAGTGTTACTGTAAGATTTAGTAAAGGTGAAAGTAAAATTGTTCCTGTGCTTAATTAAACAGCATGCCATGAATACCTTGGCATATGGTAAATTCTACTGTGCGATTGTTGATGCTTGAAGAGACAACCACGTATTAAACTTCTGTAATGAATATTTATTGTTGTTAGAATGAATATACAGTCAAACTTCTTACAACAACTAAAACACACTCCCAATTTTCCAGTCTGTTATGTCTTTGTTAGGTGTTGCTTAGTAGAGCTTTGGACAATGGAAATTGCTCTGCTTCTGTACTGTCTTTTCATATCCCTTTCTGGCCTCTGGTTGGTCTGCATTGTGTAACTTCAGTGCTGACCAGAAAGGAACCACTGGCTTCTACAGTTAATGTTTTGTACCAGTTGGTTTCCCCGGAAACCTGATTACCGAGCCATTGCATAGTAGTGGATGGTTCCTAGACAGCAGTTGAAGACTAGAGTGTTCTCATACATCATTGCTGTTGGTGCGTAAACCATTGGGCATTGGAGTTGTCATGATCCACGCTGATTGAGCGTGAGTGGCTCCTGCACTACCTTAAAAGCTCTGTTGGATTTGGTGTAATATTTGTACCTTTTTTCAGGAAAATTCATGCAGACAAAACGTGAAACTGATTCTGAAATTGATGACAGGAAGCCATCAGATGTACTGATAGTTGGTGAAGAAAAATATGCTGTTGTAGGGTATGTATAAGCTTAGTACAACATGTATTATCTGTAAAACATAATAAATTAAACTGCTCTAAAATTGTTATAACTTACAGTTGCTGTTAGTATTATGCCTAATGCCTGCAATTAGGACTTGAATGCTATACAAATCAGAGAACCAATAACATACCATACTTCATGTTTAAATTTTCTGTCTCTGACTCTCTGACTAGTAATTAAAATTTGTTATGTCTCTTCTGTGTTAATCGGTTACTAAGGTTGCTGTCAAGTGGCCTCTGTAGTCTAGAGGTAACGTTCCCACATCATGACTCATGGTACGCGGGTTCAAACCTGGCGGAGGTTGTCAAATTTTTAAGGGCGGAAAAATTCAGGGAACAAGTCCTCCGGGAGGGACTTTAAGCCCTCGGTCCCGTGTCGTAGCTTTACGGCACATAAAAGAACCTCATATCTCCAAAGGAGGTCACTGAGCTAAATTCAAGGACATTTCCCGCCCAACAGTAGTCTCTAACGTCTCTGATAGATGGGGAAAACATTATAGATACCACAAGCCAGTAGAGGCCGAAGTCGCTGGCTCGGTCGGGACTGATTTTACGCACCAATATCGGTAGGGTATAGAGACTGGTAGAATATCATAGAGGGAAGCACAATGGACCAATACTGATCTCAGTGCATGGGGAAACCCACCCTCTTCAATAACTAACTAACTAACTAATTAAGGTTGCTGTCAACACCAACGTCTGCAGATGTTTCTACTTTCACAGCTAATTACTTGAAAAACCATATCCACTTTCTTCTGTCTTCTCACAAGCTCTCCTGTCACATTTGCCATTGGCACATTTCTGTTCCCTGTATGTTCCCTCATCTAGTCATAACGTGCTGTTTTATTCTCTCACCAAATTGTCTTGGCTTTGTTTTCATGCCTGAGTTGTCCTTGGTGTTATCTATTTCATAGTGAATCGCTCTAGTCCTGATTTCTGCAACATTTCCTCTGTGTATCTTAGTCTTTCTTTGTTATTGCGTCATCTCCTATTTTATCTCTTGAAGTTTTATATGAAGAACCTGCAGTATATTTGTTCATGTCTGTGATCTATCTCCATTTGTATTAAATAGTTTTTGTACAAATTTATTTTAACTTCTGTCAATAATATGCCAATTATAGTGTAATTAATCATCTTCCAGTACAGTGCTACTACTGCTGAAGATGGTGGCTGAGTACTGTGTTTGTGCAACAGATTTGTCTGTCATGGCACCCAATTTGTGTCGCCACCTGGCAGAACTGTTACAGCTGTTCAACTCCCGCTGTTGCCAGCTTGTGCTAGGAGCTGGGGCACTTCATGTTGCAGGGCTGAAAACAATTACTACCACTAATTTGGCCCTGGCATCCAGAGCTCTGCAACTCTTGCTGTGGCTAGTCCCCCATGTTAGGGATCATTTTCAAGGTTGGTACTTAAATTCAACATGGTACTTACAAAGATTGATAAGTGTTTGCCTTCATACCAAATCCTTTTTATTTGATTCTTTAGCCCTTGGAAAAGAACTGTCAGAGATCACTGGAAAGGAAGCTGTGTAGCCTCCACTGCCAGTCTGGACATATGGCAAAGGCTGAAAAATTCCTGTTTCTACTGGGAATAAAATTCTGGTTGTCTACCTTGTATCCAATCACTTTTCTAACTGACCTGTTCCATTTCTCTTTATGGAGGTACATTGAAACTCCTATGTAATATTTCTTGATTTAAGATTTCCCTTAATTTAACATCAGTTTGAGTGATCTCAAGTCAGTAATATTAGTTTTAATTTCCTCCATTTATGAGTTTTCTCAATTTAGAGTTCAAACTTATTGCTCCTCAAAGAAACCTTGAATGGAGGTTTCACTCCATGTAGAAAGAAAACTCTCGGGTAAATTTAGAAAGCATTAAACTTATCACCCTATGAAAAGTGATAAAGTGTGAAGGCAACTCTATGCTGAATTACTGGGTGTTTGGAATTTTTCAATCGTCTGGAATTCTCACTCTAGGTGAGAAGACTCACCTGAAGACGGAAACAGATCCAGTTTCCAAAACGTCTTGTCCTCTATTACCTAGAGTTCCGGATGATAGAAAATGTCCAAAAACCCAGTAATTCTGTGTGTCATCCACCATCGTCAGAAACCTTTAGAATCAACTCAATGCTGTATGAGATCTTTATGTATAGCTGAGACAAATGTCTCTGTAAAGTCCAGTGCATGAAAATAATCTGAGAATATCGTAGTTTTACACCTTTGTTGTTCAGTGATTTTGTGCCTTATACTCAAATATTTGTTGAACACAGAAAATGGAGGTTTACCCGTGAGACATTCTGTAGTTAATGAGTGTTATTAGAAAAACCAGCGATAATTCATGAAATGCAGGTCTATAATAATAAGAGTTGTGAATTTGTTTGAATTGGAATTTGGTAAACTGTCCAGTGTTGTTACATTTTGCAGAGATGTTTGAAACGCATCAAACACAGCAGCTTCCATATCGTAATATCAGTGGTGTCAACCATTTTGATGGTGTTGAAAAGGATGTCAACAGTCATGTGCATGAGATAGAAAGCAAAGTGTTATCCATCATCAGCAACCTTATAACTATGCAACTGAACCAGTGGGACGCTCGACCTCCGGTTCCATCGCAAGCATTTCGTAACATATCCAGGTATGAATCAGTGCTCTCCTGGATTGCCTGGTCTTATGTTTACCAGACTTAGAGGAATGTATTTTCTCCACCTTGCTCTGCTTGGTGCTTGCTTACTCAACTTACTCTTAACCATGAAGATGAAGGCAGTACAGTCTTTGTAAATTAAGGTACTTCTGCCAAACATCCCAAAAGAGAGTATTGTTCACATTTACCTTGCTGATGTCATAGGCACTGGCTCTAACTTCTGTACCAACTGAAGAGTTCTCTCTTCTGTGGTATAATGCCATGTACTCTATTGTGGACTTCACGGCATTATATCTTACAAGTAAAAGCTGTCCCTGTAACAGGCCATGGAGGCCTGTAGGGTTGTGAGCATTAAGAGTCCCACATTATCTAGACAGTCGACTCACAGATGGCAGTAAGGTTGTCAGCTTTATGCACCAGCCACCCTTTGCCCCCCAGGAAGATTCCTGGTACCCATTTCTGTTAGAGGCTGAGTTGACTCCAGGGCCATAGTGCAGCTGGAAGGATTAGGTCAATTGAAAAAAATCTGCCTCATCCGGACTCGAACCATGACCTTCCAGCTTGTGGCATTGTGCCTCAACCAACTGCGCTACCATGTGCCCCTATATCTTACAAGTAACCATGACATAACCACTGCTGTGAGAACTTCAAATACTACATTGTGTACCACCTATTTTTAGCTGTTTCTAAACTTTCTCCCTGTGTCTAAACAAGCACAGTTAATGTGAGAGGTAAATTATAAAATTGTTTCTGATCTACTAGTAGTACCTACATGTTCCATTCTTACAAATATTACATGTTTACTCACCAGAGCTCTGAGAAGTAAGTAACACTTTTAGTAGACTGGTTGTATCCATCAAAATTGCACTGCATATCTGTGAACATGTACTGTCTGTCATGGAAGTTCATCACCAGATGAATAGACTTTCCAGTGAACTGTGTGCATATTTGCTTTAAACTCTGCTGGAGCAGTCTTGAGAAGGAAATACAGAGAAATGTTCACCTCAGAATTACTGGATTTTCGGACTTTGTCCATTGTCTGATATCCTAAAAACTAGAAAAAACAACGTTTTGGAAAGTGGATCTGTTTCCGTCCTCAGATGAAGGGGAGACGCCTACTCTGGAATAAGTTTAGCATTTTCTGAGGGACCCAACAGACCCAGCAGAGTAGGTGTCTCCCCCTCACCTAAGAATGGAAACAGATCCAGTTTCTGAAACGTGTTTTGTAGTTTTTAGAATACTGGATGATGGATAAACTCTGAAAACCCACACCCTCATCAGAACCCTTTAGAATCTAAATGTTCACCTGTTTAACACGGAATTGTGAAATCAGCATGTGTATATATATTGCATCCATGCTACTGGGCTTATGTTCTGGTTAAGTTCAGTATGTACAGAAATGTACACATTCACTCACTTATGCTCAAATTCATACTTAGACACAAGTAAATATTTATTTATAAAATTTTGTACTATTTTTTTATTGCTAGTGGCGTGGGACTAAGTCCCTTGTACTGCAGCCACTTCTGGCCTATTGTACCAGCCCCAGATGATAGGTGAGGGTGATTGTGGAGCAATTGGTGGAATGAAGATTGGCAGGGGAAACTGAAGTACTTGGAGAAAACTTGCCCCAGCGCCACTTTGTTCACCACAAATCCCACTTGAGCAGACCCAGGATTGAACACGGGCCACTGCAATGGGAAGCCAGCGACTAACTGCTTGAGCTATGCCACGGCCTTAAATTATGTACTAAGTTTGGATTGGAAGGAGGCATATGTTACAGCAGTGATGAACCTTTGAAGCCTGAAATACTGTGGACACCTGGTGCCAGATAGTAGCCTCAGCAGTAATTTCATACAGACTGTACATCATCCTTTTTCTCCTCAACATCCCTTGACAGTGACATTTCCGATATCTGTACCACTGTGGTGTAATTTCCTGTATCTACAGTTTGTCATTTCTCTGTGTGTATGTATGCATTTTTTCATTCATTTGTTACATATATTTTACTTTGACTGTACAGGCATCTGACAAAATTGCATGAAGCTGTTTCCAATATTCTGCCAGAGACTCAAGTTCAAGACCTCTACAGGACAGTAAATAAAACATTCAAGGATAAATTGAGAGACCAGTTGATGAAGATGAATGTGGTGAATAATGGTGGGCCACAGCATGGGTAAGTTCAAGTGTGTGTGTGTGTGTGTGTGGGGGGGGGCAGAATTTTGATATAACCCAAACAGTTCCTGACCCTACTCCAACCCTGAAGACAGGCTGCATCTTCCTCTGAAGTGTTGGTATGTGCCTACAAGAGTAAACGGTGTAACAACCTGGAAGACCACAGCCTGAGTGGTCACCATCATGACAAACTCAGAATTTAAATGGCAGTCATTTATTGTAATATGATGGGCAATCAAAAAAGTTCCCAGAATTCCCCTGCAGACGGAGAATAAGCGATAATATAGCACACACATTGTTGTGGTTGAGAGCTCTTCATGTCTGCTTGCAGGTGCAGCAGGTCTGAACAGGTTTTGGTATGCAGTGTCATTACTGTTACATTTTAATTAGACATGAGTGTTGGTCATTCAGCACAATGTTGTAGTTCAAACAGTGTACAAATTGGGAAAATCTGCTTCAGAGATGCTGTCAGTCCTGTAGAAAGTTTATGCTGAGACTGCACTAAAGAAATCTGCAGTTTACAACTGGTTTTCCCAGAGTAAGAATGGACAGGAGACGTTGGAGGATGACCGGTGCAGCGGGAGGCCTTCAACATCCAGAACTGAAGAAATGATTGAAAAAGTACGACAACTGATTCAGTCTGATCAAAAAATGACCATCGTGGAGTTGGAGCAGGAAGTAGGTATCTCTCATGGATCCATTCATGTGATCTGTCTGATGATTTGTGGATGAGACGTGTCAGTACGAAGTTTGTTCCAAGGCAGTTGACCAGGAATCGGACAAAATGTTGCATTATGGTTGCTGGAGATCTGTTTGAGGAAAGTACACAGGATCCGGTGTTTCTCAGAAATATCATCACTAGTGATGAGTCATTGGTGTTCACCTATGACCCGGAGATGAAGATGCAGTCATCAGAGTGGCACACAGCATCGTCTCCCGGACTGAACATATCACACCTCATCAGATCCAAGAAAAAAAGTGATGCTTATTGCATTCTTTGACATTGACGGTGTGTTGCACCATGAGTTCATGCTACTTGAACATAGTGTTAGTGGTCATTTCTACGTGCAAGTTTTGCAGAGGTTGCGTGATGCAGTTCGGATGAAGTGGCACAAAAAGTGACGGACAGTGGTTTCTGCATCACAATAACACACCAAGCCACACATTACTTGCTGTGCAGCAATTCCTCGCTGAAAAAAAAAACATTCCTGTCATTATCCAAACACCGTACTCTCCAGATCTCACTCTCCATGACTTTTTGCTGTTCCCTACTCTGAAAATGGACCTCAATGGGACATGTTTCACAACCACGGAGAACATCAAATCGAATGCGATAGCTGAATTCAGGAGGATTCCAAAAGAAGCCTTCTGCCCATGCTTCCAATGATGGCAGGATCATTGGGAGCCTGTGTGTGTGCGCGCACGCGTGTGCGTGCGTGCGTGCATGTGTGTGGGTGGGTGCGTGCGCGCGCATACATGTTTGTGTGTGGGGGCACGCGTACTCGTCCATGCACAAGGGTCCTACTGTGAAGGTGATTAGATAAGCGTTGCTGTATGCCCCACCAATACAGTGCAGTACCACCATTTTGGGACCCATAACATAATTTATAGTGGTTAGCAGATTCTGGTTGGTGTTGTGTTATAGTATAATGACTGTAAATAATTACTTTACATTGTGGGAACTGCCCACATTCAAGCAAGTGTGACAACGCGAGCGTCATTGCTTAGCAACCGTTTACTCGAAATAATTTGTGATGAACATTACTGCACAGTAAGTATGAGAGTCAGGTATGATTACTTTTTGTACCATTATACACCAGAAGATATCTGTCCTTTTATGTAATTTTTAATTGTGAATGCTATAGGTGAGTGACTATTACAGCTTTTTTCTAAGTCTTGATTTTAATGCTGCATAATGGCTTTATTTTTACATTTTAAATAAACATGTTGAAATGAGTTACTGATTATTAAATTTGTAGACTTCAGTATACCTTAACTACATGAAAGGTGTAGATCATCAGCCTTTAGAAAAACCATTATTTGATGAATCATGAAATATTGAGAACTGCTGACTCATTTTTTGTCTATGCTGAGAACGATGGTTAAGAATACCCTAGCCATTACTGTTGAGTACATCACCGGTTGCATGTGTTGTGTGTGGTTATACAATGTCAAGCAAAATGGCGACCGCTATTCATTGATGTTTGTTGCCTTTCTTCCTTATTGCTACATGAGTATGTCAGTCCTGTGCAACACCACATTGCAAAAAAACTTCTTTTTCAGAGTATGGATGAGGTATGCTTATAGAATATGCGTGTTTTTTTTTAACTCTCTGTCTGTTTATGATGTGAAAGCATTTACCACTGGCTGCTCTCAGCACTTGCAAGAATCAGTATTCTCAAATCACAACTACATTTATTGAAACCAAAGAAGGACTGTTAAATTTGTAAGAGCAAACAAAAAGTTTTTGTTCACAGGATTGTGACATCTGAATTAACATTTTATTTGACGACCCTGAAAACTCTTCATGCTCTTCCATTGGACGAACTTGCAGACAACGCTATGGATGATATCTGGATCTCAAGATAACGGCAGCAGAGCTTAAACTAAAGGTTCTAAAGGAACAATAATAAAATATATACAGCATTCCACAGGTTTTCTTTTTAATAGTTTCTTCTAATGCGTGACAGACAGTGAATTGACACTGACTTTGTTAGTTACCACTGTACCAGTTCATATCATATTAGTGCTATGATTACGTGAAAGATCCTGCATCTCATGTATCTCATATCACCACCATGATACATTGGTCATACTGCTTTATATTTTAAGTGTTAATTTTACGGCTATTTTCAGTAGATGGTAAAATGCCCCAGCTGGAATGAAGTGTGCATGTGAAAGATAAAAACGTTTTAGTACAGTTTGATAACTACTAACTCTGTTAAGCAGAATCTTTCCTGAGAAGCTAATAATTGCACAGCTAGTCAAGAAATGCCCCAGAGGATTATGACAGTTGATTACTGTGTTTACTGTTTCTTATCCTGAGCCAGATGAATCCATTCCATGTAAGAGTTACTTAAATAGTTGAGATCTGAGTCTGCTTACAGTATGTTATTAATATAAACCAGGATCCAGTCTTGAAAATTGTAACGTACCAAAATAATGGGCACTGTATGTAACTTTCTCCCATACCTCTCAAGTGATTTCCATCACCCTGCATTCCTATCCAGAAATTATTTATGCAGGCCCTAAGTATGAACAGAAATGACAAAATCAGAACATGTTACCTGATCTATATGAGACAAAAGTGAAATGATGGATAAATGGGGATTTCCTGTGCATGTTTTATGGTAAAGCCATCCCTGTAACAGGCCATGAAGGCCCATTGGGCTGAAACAGGCCAAGGCTCCCACATATTCTAGACATTCGGCTCACAGATGGTGGTGAACTTGTCAGCCTTATGCACTGACTGCCCTTTACTCCCAAGGAAGATTCATGCTACTCATTTCTGTTAGAGGCTGAGTCAACCCCAGGGCCATAGTGTGGCTGGAAGGTTTAAGTTAGTTGAAAAATCTGATGACCTCATCAGGAATGAAGCCATAACTTTCTGGCCCATAGCATAGTGCATCAACCAACTACGCTACTGTGTATCCCATGCATGTTTTATTTAATATATATAGGTGGGATGAAAGCAGCCACTCTTAACTAAAAATGGATTGTTTCAGAATAATTTTAATGTTTACACTGCCATTGTATTAGATATAAATGCATATATTTGTGATGATTCAGATACAACTTAAAATTTCTCATTATATAACATCTCATGCCATTTTTGACAATAGTCATCAGTGTCCTGAAGATGACTGTACTGTTCCAACATACAGGGACTGAAAGAATGCTGTCATCTGGGATGTGATGCCATATGCTCCGATAGACCTTTGCCAATTATTAAGAGGAACACCCTGCCACCATCTTCACCCTTCTATGCTGAAGATTCAGGTAGCCTATTCTCCTGAACCATAAGCAAACATCTACCAGGTTACATGGCATCATCCCAGAAAAGAGTAATCTTCATAGTCACCCCATAAGTTCCCCAGATCTCACTTGTAGGATTTACATATACCAGTGATACGAGGGGAGTCAAAAAGTTCCCAGAATGGTGGTATAGCACTCTAATGGTAGGACATACGGCAACGCTCATCTAATCACCATCAAAGTAGTACCCTTGTACTACACATACACACTTGCTCCATAGATCCTGCCATTGTTGGAAGCAGCGGTGGAAGGCTTCTTTTTGGAATCTTCCGGATCCCAGCTATCGCATTCGATTTGATGTCCTCCATGGTTGCGAAACATATTCCCTTGAGGCCCATTTTCAGAGTAGGGAACAGCCAAAAGTCACTCGGAGCGAGATCCAGAGAGTATGGTGGTTGAGTGATGACAGGAATGTTTTTTCTCGGCAAGGAATTGCTGCACAACAAGCGATGTGTGGCTCGGTGCGTTATTGTGATGTAGAAACCACTGTCCCTGCCATTTTTCACGCCGCTTCCTCTGAACCGCATCGCGCAACCTTTACAAAACTTGCACATAGAAATGGCCAGTAACAGTCTGTCCAGGTGGTACAAACTCATGGTACACCAAACTGTCGATGTCAAAGAATGCAATGAGCATCACTTTGTCTTTGGATCTGATGAGGTGTGGTTTTTTTGGCTGGGGAGACGACGCTGTGTGCAACTCTGATGACTGCATCTTTGTCTCCGGGTTGTAAGCGAACCCCAATGACTCATCACTAGTGACGATGTTTTTGAGAAATGTCAGGTCCTGCGTACTTTTGTCAAACAGAACCATCATGCGACATTCCATCTGATCCATAGTCAGCTGCCTCAGAACAAACTTTGCGCTGACACATCTCATCTTCAAATCATCAGACAAAATGGCATGAATGGATCCATGAGAGATACCAACTCCGTGATGGTCATTCTTCGATCACATCGGATCAGTTGAATCCATGCCTAACAGAGCCTTCGGCTGCTTGTCGAATATTACATTTTTTTGATTAGTCCTCAAACGTCTTTTTTCTCTCTCTCTTTATACTATAAAACTGCTAACGCAGCTGCTTCCCCAAAAGTAAAGCTACCTCCTCCTTTTTGCCCTCAAATTATGAGTGGTGGGTTCCCATTGGCTAACCCCTTTTTGTTGTGGACGAATCCGCGGCGTCTCATCCTTGTGTAATTGGGAACTTCATTCGCTCCAGTGGCATAGTAAAGCGAGCCATCTGATGTGCGATTACGCACTGATGCCGACTAAGTACATTCTTGACCTAGTTACACAGTCTATGTGTTGCCATCCTTACCCTGATCGTTGTGAAACCTCTTAGCAATTGTAACATTTGGGGCAATGCCTCAAATTTCCCTTTTTGAAATTTGCGGCATAACATTGCACTTTTTCAATCATTTCTTCGGTTCTGGATGTTGAAGGTCTCCCGCTGCGCTTGTCATCCTCTAACGTCTCCTGTCCATTCTTAAACCAGGAAAACCAGTCATACACTGCGGATTTCTTTAGTGCAGTATCACTGTAAACTTGCTGCAGGGCCGATTGCGTCTCTGAAGCAGATTTTCCCAATTTGCACATGAACTTTATCTTCACATGCTGTTCGAACTGCGACATTGTGCCGAATGACCAATACACATCTAATTCAAACAAAACAGTAACGACACTGCACACTGAAACCTGTCCAGACCTGTTGCGCCTGCGAGCAGACATGTTGAGCTCCCCACCACAACAGTGTGTGCGCTATCTTATCGCTTGTTCTCCCTCTGCAGGGAAATTCTGGGAACTGTTTGACTGCCCTACATATTACACATTTTAACTAATACTGTTTATTGTACTACATAGTCCATGAACAATGCAACAAATTGTTCCTTCTTTCTTACACTTTCGCTTTTGACACAACATGTTTTGACCCTAAATGGCCTTATTCAGTTGTCTTGCTATGCTGTAACTGCTACACTGCACTAATATTGGCCATCTGTTGCAGTGCAGTGTAGCAGTTTTAGCATAGTAAGACACCTGAAGATGGCCATTTAGGGCCAAAACATGGTGTGTCAAAAGTGAAAATGTAAGAAAGAAGGAACAGTTTGTTGCATTGTTGATGGACTATGTAGTACAATAAACAATATTGATATAGTAATGAAACAGGATGCTTAAATACAGGATTACACATTTTAAGTTGTGTCTGTTTCTAGAATCACCCCTCACATGGCTGATTGTGTCTTACTATCTTTTTCCCCTTGGAAATAATTGTATGATTTTGTTTTCAGTTTTTTATGTTTACCTTCTGTTTGAGAGTTCAGACTATGAATCAGTACTCTGTATGATTTGTGTCTATTTCAAATTATATGAATAAATATTTTCTGAGATGAAGAGGAGTGGAGGTAGCCAACAGATCTTAAAAATGTTGCTTATTTACAGAATGTATGTAAAGATGTTAAAAATTTGGAAAGCTGGTAAATGTACCCAGTTAATAATAAGAAGCCATATACTAAACTTTAGTTGTATGTAAGATCATACATAATTTTCCATCTTAAATATTCTAGAATATATTACTGGGTGAACTGTTCACATACAAAGCAGATCCACATTGGAGTGACAAAAACAGTGGAAGTCCATAGAAACATGTAGATAAATAATGCCTAATTTTCTTGATGGTACGGAAATTGCAATAATCACATGCTAAATAAGAATTTTGACTGTCTGAAATTGATTTGGAGGTAGGAAATATTAACATAGGTGATGTTCAAATTGAGGGAAGGCATCTTACCGACACAAAAGAATTTCCTCTTCATACATAACATATGACTTTATTCTAAAAACAGTATGACTACATAACACGTGACAACCATCTTGTCACACCGGAAACTGCACAGCCTTCTGGGATACAAAAAGACAGAGAGACTACAGTTTAGTGAGTCAGTTCTACGACTAAAAGGAATACATAACAGTGATTGTGGAATGTTAGAATTGCTATACAACAGTAGGTAAAATTGAAATCCAGGTTTATGCCAGTTTATCATAAATGTAAACTGTAACTAGAACATAACAGTCAATCTAATTAAGTTCATCATCAAAAAGAAACCTAGGAACAGTAATTAGCCTGAAAGCATAGGAAGTGTCAGTGTTTCATACAAATTGCTGAAGAATGTATGGGCAATGAAGGAAGCCTTTTGAACAACTGCATGGCAAGCTGATTGTTGGATATAACTAAAAATTGAACACCAGATGGAAATTTTCAGAGTATATCATGTTTATTATATAACATGTTTGATATCCATTAAAAATTCAATGGAATGTTCCTTTGTTATATAAACTATGTTATTGTTTACAAATTAAATACAAATGAAATAATTATAACATTAAATTTTAAACACCGACACAGAGGCATTCTTTTCCTATTCCTTTTATTTGTCCCTTATGTTGGTATTCCTTTCCCCTTACTGCTATCTTAAGTATACCCATTTGTGACTTGTATGGTTTTCTGATGTTTAATTTTGCTTCTTCAGTAACAAGAAGTAACAGTTCATCACTGTCACAAAACCAGCTATAGTATGTATGATCTGTTTCGAGGCACCTGTTCATAAAATGATGTAAGTTCCAGGCATCATGGTGGTACATGTTTATTATGTGAGTGTGGCTGTCCCTTCTTTAATTTCATTTGTACATTTTATGCCAATTTGAAAAAGCTTTCTAAAGCCTTTAATATACTGCAGAACGGTAAATATTGCCAGAAAATAAATCATATTTATGCATAATTTATTATATGGATTTATTTATATATATTATTACTATATATTATTTATTATATGTATATATATACTTGTGTGTTAATGTTGTATTCAGATTTTTAATGAGATAATTAATATGAAAGTGCAGCTCAGATTTTGTGTGAAAACTGTTAGAAGATAATTTTAACGCACTACCAGATACACCAATGTTAATGGATTCATCCTTCAGAACAAACAGATTCTGTAATAGGATGTTGAATAATAGACGTACGGTAATATAGTGTGTGTAGTATACTGTTACCAGCTGAAAGAGAATGTATCTAAAGTAGGGATCAGTCACTGTCAGTAGTTATAAATCAGTTTATGAATGGCAGATCCGATGTCCTCATAGCAGTGAACTTAAAGAATACTATGTTCTGGGATGCGACGCCATGTAAAAAAGTAAAAGTAAAGCTATCCCTGTAACAGGCCGTGAAGGCCCATAGGGTTGTGAGACATTGAGGGTCCCACATTATCTAGACAATTGGCTCACAGATGGCGGTAACATTGTCAGCCTTACACGCCGGCCATGCTTAACTCCCCACGAAAATTATTTAATTAATTCCTGGTACTCGTTTCTGGTAGAGGCTGAGTCGACCCCAGGG